TAACCACCTAGGGGTGGGTAGGGAGGGCGAGGCCTTCGGGCGGCCTGCACCGCACTCGGGTTCCTCCCTTGAAGGAGCAGAGGCCTACGGCACGGGAGCTGTCCGCGGTCCTGGCCGGTGTCTCCCAGCGGGTACTTAACCCAGGGCAGCACCGGTACTTCTCTAAAGGGTACAAAGCCAGGGCTGGCTTTCATCAACCTTCCTGCAGGCGAGGCCTGAGAGCCACGTCCCCTTCATGTTCCCACTCAGTGCCGTTCCCCTCTGAGAAATTAAGACTATTTTGACGTCTCCCTTCTTGTTCCTACCCCTGGCGTCCATTACCCTCCCCTGCCCCAGGCAGCGCCAAGTGAGGAGCCCAGGGCGTTCACTCCCAGCCCTGTTCCTGAGTCCCAAGGGGCCAGGCTGCTCTGGGAAATGCCAGGGCAGACTGAGTTGGGACTGGGCTAACACTCACTCCTCCTGTCTATGTGCCAAGAGGACGGGACTTTGAGTTCACCAGTTAGAAACTGCATGTCTGGAACAGTGAGGTCCGGACCTCTTTAGATGCACAGTGCGCCTGTGGGGCTGGTGTGAGGCTGGTGCCCCTTTCTGTTAGGGTGTTCCTGAGCATGGGGGAGGACAGGAGGTAACAGCCGGGTGGTGCGTGGAAAAGACGGGTCTGCAGCAGCGAGTGTGGCCCTTGTAGTCACTTTCAGTGGGTCTGGATCTATGCTGAACGCAAAGCAAGGGCTCAACAAATGCTTGCAGAATTAAACCCGGAAAGGCACTACAGGAATTGGAGAGCTTTCTCTTCCTCTCCCATCAAACTGTACACCTCATGGCAGATTCTGGAGACTCCGGCTCTCTGGCTCTTTAGAGAACAGAGAATCTTCCTCCAGGAGCGGGTTGCTTCCTTTCACCCCTGCATCACTGAGAGTCTGACTTGTCCTGTTCTGTTTTGCAAAACTTGCTTTGCCTATTCTGCCTTCCACATTCACTTCTTCTAGAGGCAGTGCCCAGAAGAAAAAAAAACAGCTTGACCATATTGCGGGACACTTTGATTGTGAAAACTGATCTCCATGTCCTGCACCCTGGAAACATGAAAAAGCTACTCTGTCCTCACTCCCCAAGGTAACCCTAAGACTGAGAAACAAAGTGAAGCCATGTTTCCCTGTGCTGATCCCTTAGTAAAGGAGCATGTGGAATGATTTAGTTGTAAGATTAACCTTGTTTATTTTAGTCATTTCATAAAACCTACACAAAGCATTCTCAGCTGAAAGCAGTGTCTTTAGCAGTACAGTGAAGTGAGGGTCACTACAGCTCCAGGAGGAAATGGAAAAATGCAAAACGATGTGTGAATGTCAGAAATAAAGGTGGAGGAGGAAAGAAAAAATCTATAGCACTTTTCAAATGGGACTTTTAAATTTCTATCTCCAATATTACCTTTTTAAAAATGCAGTTTTGGCCTCAAGTTGGAATAAATTTCATGTATATATGTTATGAACAAGCTTATATATGTGTACTATATACAATATGTACCACACACATTACAGTATATACAGCATATACAACCTGCACCAAAAGGTTTATATCCTGCTTCAGTCAACTAACATATTCTTTAAAACACTTTAAAAGGAACTTTTTTAAAAAAGAAAAAGAACATTTTTTTCAAGTAGAAGTCAGAGAAGCTTTAAGTAAGATTTCTTCACAACTCCTGTCTCTTTGGAAAGAGAGGCAGTTGGTATCATGTTGCTGATCCAAGAGTACCAGAATGATAATGGCCATTACTGTGGGGGTCCATTTGTCTATACCAGAATAATGCATGCTTGACATTGTTAAGTACTACTGTACACACAATATTATTTGACCACTGTGACATTCTTGTGAGGTAGGCATCTTCCTCTAACAAGTGAGGAAATTGAGACTCAGGGAGATTAAGGGTCCATCCCAGTTGGTTCAGCTTGATGGGAAAATGAAAATCTAAGCTGGGATCTCCAGGGGACTCTACTGAAAGAGGCCCTATCTTGTAACATGAGGGGATGTGCAGCTAAAAATAATAATATGGTACCTGGCTTTCATTTGTCTACATCACAAGACATCAGACATTGTCATCAGGGGATAAATTCACACCTTCCATCCTGTCATTTCTTTATTCGGCCAAAATGTAAAGTCTGCAGTGAGCTAGACCACACTTAGGTCTTGTTTCTAGCTTGTACTGACTCACTCTGTTCTGGTTTCTACTGCTGACTCTTGCTGCATAAAAAGATAGCTTTGGGATACTGATTAGTGGCACAGCCCTTGTCTTGCATGTGCAACAGCCTGATTTCTATCCCCAGCACTCGGGACGAAAGGGGGGAAACATGGTTTAGGACGTGCCACCACTTCTGTGGGCCTGGCGGGCGCTGTCCTCGGTGCTGAGCATCTCCCTCCAGCAGGCACTGTCCAGTTGTCTTTCCATTCACCCCGCCTCAAATGCCTTGTCTTTGGAGACACCTTACAGTCACAAAACCTCTAGTTTTAATCCCAGAGTGCTCTTGCGCTGAAAAAAATTTTTCCCAAGGACTTTCCTGGGAATGGAAAATCTGGGAAAGGTTCTGCTTCCTCCTTCATTCCGAAATTTGATTTATTTCGTTAGAAAGTGGAGCTCATCCAGTGCAAGGGATTCAGCACTGGCAGCTGTGAGGAGTGTAGCGTTTGAATGCTGCTCCAGCTCAGCAGTTCCCTAGGCCAACACTTACCCTTTACAAGCAGGGTGGCGGCTCCAGAAAAGTTTTCTGCTACCAGAGGTGCTGCTACATGGGGACGCTTGGGGAAGCTTTAACATGTGTTCTTCCCAGCACCTGGAGGGCTGGGGCTGAGGGAAAGGGACAGCAGATCTGTGCCTTTTCTTGTAGCTTCGGAGAGGTGAGGGTAATGAAGGTGGCAGTGATAGAAAGAAGTTTTTCAAAGGAAGCTGAGAGCCAAAGCTTAGGAAAGAGAGAAAAAGGGGGGACTGAAAGACGCAAAGGAGCATGCATTGCTCATTCTTCCTTTCTAAATCCGAGCTCCAGACCCCCAGAAGGAGGTGTGGAAATCATCTCTAACTCCACTCTCTCCACCTGCAGGGAAACTGAAGAAAAGCACAGGTCCCAGGTAATGTTGTATTTAGATAAAAATAAAGCAACCTCAGGGAGGACTGAGTCTACTTCTTCTTTATTAGATATTCCTTAATTTATTTCTCCTGGAAAGAATAAAACATAGGCATCCAAACAATATGCTGATTTTAATCTACTCAATGAAGGATGCTGAGCCACTTCCTTTCTCTGGACATCATGTACTTCCTAAGAATGATCCAAGGAAAAATAAAGATTGCAGTTCAAGCTAACTGTTGTCATCTTTTATTCATACAGGCAAACTGGAAAAATAAACAGATGATATACTCCTTCAGTAATATTTTCTCTTCTTAGAAACTTAAGAGATTCATTTGTCAGAGAAGCACATTTTAAAATTTTTAATTGACAAAGAAAATCTGTATACATTTGTGGTGTACAGTGTGGTACTTTGATATAAATGATGTTTGATATTTATTAAAGCTAATTAACATAACCATCAGCTCACATTTATCCCTTTTTGTGGTGATAACATTAAAATCTACTCTGTCAGCAATTTTCAAGTATACAGTGCACTGTTATTTATAGTCATCATGTTGTACGCAAATGTCCAGCACTTACACCTCCGGTCCAAAGTTTATCTTCATTCAGTAGGTAATTTTTTTCTATGAAAGCTATGCCTTAACCCTAAACTTTAACTTCATAATCATTAAAATATCTTCACTAGGACTAAAAAACATCACTACTACATATTCTGTCTAAAATACTCTATAATACTTATATTCCAGAGTCAACAATTAGCTTCTAATGTGAAGTAAAGGGGCATTGGGTGAGTCCCTTTGCAGAATGCTCACTCTCTAGGGGAGTACCAGAGGAAGGAGTCCATTTCTGGCGGTAAAATCAATGGGTTCTATAAAGGCATTGGAAAATCGACAACTTCGAGACAAGGACGGCTCAGACACATTCAGACTAAATTATTATTCGTTCCTCCCAGCTGGCATACTCAGGCAGGTACTTGTTCCTGTAGTAGCTGATTAGTGACAGCTATTTACAGACACACAAGCAACTGAGTCATATTTTAAGGGCAGGAAGGAGCTTCATTGACATTGTTTAATTCTCTCTTTATTAGAATGAAACCAAGATCCGATGAAAGGAAGTAGATTATCTAAGGTGACCTCATTGGCAAGTGGCAGACAGATCACCAAAGTCATTTTCTCAAGGTGCCCAGTAAATCTGGCTGTGAATTTTAAGCAAAAGGATAATCTAGGTACCTAAAGTGCAGGAGTCTGAACCCCAGCCCCAGAGAATCTTGGTGAGCAGACTGGGACAGTCCCAGGATTTTCTATTCATGATGGCACCACAGGTCTCAGAACTACTTGTGCAGAAATACTATGTAAATCTCTTAAGACTTAACTGTTGACAAAATAAGACATAAAGTAGCATACAAATTTCAAATCATAGCTTTAAAGACATTGGTAATCTCTCCCACTGTATCTCAGATATTTATGTGTTTGTATAAATTGCACAATCAGCAAAAGCCACGCACATGCGACTTTGGCCATCATGGGTCCCCTGCTGGACGCTGAGGCGCGGATTATTCCTTCTTGTAGCGAGATTTCCCAGCTAATGCTTTTCTAAGGCATTGAGAAGACTATTTCATCCCAAGAAGCACTAGAAACTGTAAAATTGTGTAACTACTAATGTTTTTCTTTCTAGCATATAAAATTCTTGCTTGTCTAATAAATTTGCTATTTAATAATGTATTCACTTACTTATTCAATGACTATTACTGCATATCTGTCAGTTATGTCTGTAGTCCCCAAGCAGACTTCACAATAATTGGAAATGACATTAGAAATTGTTGGGATCCAGTGGAGAGTCCTGATGCCTTACACAGCTGTACTTATGGTTATAATAAAACACGCAAACATGTATTGTGTAACGCTATAAAACTTTAATGCTTGTAACTATATGATGGGTTCCCACATTAAAGGAAATTTACATAAGCATGATAACAAAGCAGTAACTGGAATCACAGTCAATGAAAATGGAAAATGAACTTTGTAGATTAAGATTTATATTAACCCAGATAATTCAATTCCAGTGAAAGTTTTATGTTTTACATTTAGTTATATGTACTCCACTTTGGCAAGTAACAAAGGAGACTTCAATGCAGACCTTCCCAAATTTTAATTAACCTTGATGAAATGCAACAGATTGCTATTTTAACCAAAGGGAGAGTATGGAATTATTATCTCTAAATCAAAGAGGACTACAAAAGATCCATCATTAGTTTTTGACAAAGATATTAACATACTATCATTTCAGACCAGTTTCCTTACTTGTTGATCCTCCATTTTGTTCCCCCAAAAGACTTTAAAGCTGTTATTTCAAATTAAAGTTTTCTTTTTAGAGTTTTTGGATGAAAAAAATAATTAGATTTCTGCCAACACCGAGTTCTGTCCATAGCTTCACTTTATTTTCTGGAGAGCACTGCAAAGGATTCCAACTTCACCTACAAAGAAGAGCACCATTCAGATGGGCCATGACTATAAGGACAAACACCCCTCAAGTGTCCACCTTGGGCAAAGTCCTAAGGGATCCGAGGGACACTGGAAAAGTTAGCTGTCACTCCAAACTTCATGCAGCTCACCACTCAGCTAGGGAGACAGGACTGGGACCAGGTGGTATGCTGTAGGAAGTCCTCGGGCTGTTACTGTAACTGGCTTCCTCTTTCCATGAGCCATTTCTCAGGAAGGACTTAGCAGGTTTCTCTCTAGGCAAATCACAAGCTGCTCTGTTTCCTTTTCACATGACATCCACAGATGCTTCAAGGAGCTAAACCTGAAAGTGTGCTTACACAAATCTTCTCCCTCAGAGTCTCCTGCTCTCTTATTACCAGGACAAATCCCCAAGGCTTACCACAGATTTAGTAAATTTATTCTGGGCCCATAACTCAGGACTCTAAGTTCCAGCCAGCTGTCCGCATGATTCTGACACACACTAAATTCTGAAGAAGCATAGCTTTAGCAGAGAACCCAGCCTAGATTGTTAGATTCCTGGACAGAAGTACCTTGCAATCAATTCCATTTCTGCCAGGGCCCCAGGGATACAAACTCTTCACAGAAGTGTGAGAGACCTTGGAGACTGACAAGCTTCACTCCCTCCTCAATCTCAGAGACAAAAGTACAGAGAGGTGATGAGGACTTCCATAAAGTCACATAGATCTAAGAAGCCTTCAGTTCCTAAATTTGTTACTCTGCACTCTTAGAAACTTCCTTATAAACAACAGCCAGTAGCCAGTGGAGTTATTCTTGCCTTTTCACAGGAAATGAGAAAGAATGCAAAAACAGCTGTGCCCTCACCCCTGTGTCTCACACACCAGCCTCTGCAGCACCTGCCTGGCTTCTTCAGTGGAAGCACCACTCCAAATGGGTTTCCAAGATGCAGTGAGCCCATGGAGTGCATCAACCTTGCGCTTTTTCAAAATGGGGGATCACAGGTGGCCACACCTAAGGTGCAAAGACTACCAGGGCCAGTTCTGTGCAGCAGAGGGGCACAGCCAGTGATAGGCGACACTTCAAGCCCATCTGCCCTCCTGGGCTCTCTAGCATTACACAATCCAGGGACTCCTACCTGTTCTGGAATTCCTCCCTTGCACCCCCACCCCCACCATCCCATAATTCATCTCTTCACTCAATAGCTCTTGTGTGCCCAATATAATTTTTAGCAATAGGGCTAGGGCTTTGATGTGAACCTGGTGTGACTCTCTGTTTGGGTCTAGTTCAGGGGGCAGACAAGCCAACAATTATAAAAACAACACTAGTATAATGACTCCTTTGTGAGTGGCAGATGTAGGAATGTAAAGACACAAGAAGGACATCCAACCCAGTCTTCTTATAAGAAGAAAATCTATGTGAGACTTGGCAGGTGAGCTGGCTCTGGGCCTTTCCAAATGGATGGAGGAAGAGTATTTCAAGCATAAAGAATGGTATAGGTAAAGGTCTGGAGGTAGGAGAGAGCACAGGAACTCGAATTCAATCAGTGTTGCTAGAGAATAATTTGAAGGGCCAGAGGCAGGATCAAGTATGACCAAGGTACCCCGTGATTTCTGAAGAGCAGTGGTGTAACATCCATCATCAGAGAAGAGTGGAAGGGCGGTAGCTGAGCTCCTGTATGGCTAATAAAGCAAAGAGAAAGCGGCACTTAGGTGATGAGACTGCAGGCAGAGTGATAGCCATTAGACCCTTAGAGAGAGAGATGGAAAAGCAAAGGGCAGAGGCAAAGCTGAGGGTGCCAGTGAGGTGCGAAAGGTCTCATAGTGGTAGGAGAGAGGATGGAACCTCAGAGGGTCCAAAAAGAGGTGCTCAAGCCAATGGGGCCTTTTTGCCAAATTCTTCTCCCCAGTGAACCTGCGGTTTTTGTAGAGATGCTTTCTCCTTAAGTAAATATTTCATGATTTCTGTTGTTCCTAAGGTGAGCATGGAAAGATGTAATCCTCTATTTCCTGGAAAGAGAGTGTGGCCCTGTAGGATGTAGCAACTCACTGTTGATGGAGTCCGCCAAGATCTTCAGCTGCTGGGTGTTGTCCAGGACCTCAATCCTCTGGGTGTAGGGGTCATAGTGAACTGAGAAGGGTCGGGGAATTGTGGCAGCGAAGTTCCTGCAAGCAAAACCAGGGCCTGAGGGAAGGGTGCCGTGGGGATGTGAATTCTCAGGGCCGTTTCCCTTCTCTATTAACGCTGAGAGCTCACTGGAACCCAGGCTGCTGGAGCCAGGGCTGAGGAGGGAAGTAGAGTTTTAATAGGGTCGCTTGGGAAGGCTTTGTGTGTGCCTCTGTGTATACACACACACACACACACACACACACACACACACACACACACACACATGGATTTAGTCACCTCGCTCCAAAAAGACAGAGATGGCTTATAATAGCAGCATGAATACAGTAAAAGGCATGTGTTACTAAATAAGCTCAAGAGAGTAAAGAAAACCCAGCTGAAGAATGCTATGGAGGGAGAAAAAAAGCAAGTTCTGAGATGTTGGATAGAGAAGGAGAGAAGGAAATCCAACTCTCAAGAGCTTAACAGAACAGTGTGCTAACGATGACATTTAACCCAAACTGGGCGATCCCAGTGGCTCAGGAGGCAGAGGCAGAAGAATAGCTAGTTTAAGGCCAGCTTAGGCAGCTTTGAGAGCTTGTCACAAAATGGTGATGTAGCTCTGTATGAAGGTCCTGGGTTCAACCTCCACCTCTCCACAATATCCAATAAAGTAAAGAATCTAATCTTCTATATCCCAAGAGCCATATTAAACCCTAACTGCTCTAAACTCCTTTATAAATACCATTGCTAACTTAATCTTCACAAAAACCTTAAGAGGTAAGGACTACTGCTATCCCCATTCTCAGGTGAGGAAACTGAGGCTTGGGGAGCTGACTGCTAAGGCCACTTCCATCGGTAAGCTGCACACCTGGGAATGAACTCAAATGATTCTTGCTTTCTTGCCTTCTTGGACATTATTCCTGGCTAGGGAGGAATCCCTCATGAGCGCCTTTGTGAGGGACATCAGACAGTATAATAACAAGAAATTCCAAGCGCATCACAAATATTAATTTTAAGTCAGCCCCTGGTGAAAGTGGGAGCTGCTGGACTGAAGACAGTGATGAAGGAGTCAGGAACCCTCCGAGTGGGAGGTGGGAGAACCTCAAAAGCCCAAGTCAAACTGCTCCAGCTCCACTCCTACCTCTGCCCACGATGCCCCTGTGACCCTGGGCAACAGCTCCCCTGTCTGCACCTCCCTTTCTCTTCTTCCTCTGTAAGATCCAGGGATGGCTGTCCTTACCCAGAGGGGTGCACCAAGCCCTGTTAGAGTTCGGGGTGCTGCTAGCTCTTACTAGCAGTGGGACTCCTGAAGAAAGACTGGCCCAGAGGGCCCCGCCATGGCTTCTCTGCAGGAGACCCAAGCTGTGCAGTGCACATCTGGGTCTTGCTTGCTCCAGCCCTCCTCCCCTTTCCTCCCACAGAGCACCTCTTTTGGGCTTTGAGCAGCACCCCCTGACCCCTCTGGATGTGTTGCAGGTGGGGTCTCAGTTTGGAGCTCAGCCCCTTGGACCAGGATGCAGCACTCAATCCAAGCTCAGCCCACCTGAAAACCAGAGTGGTGGGAGTTGCATCCTCAGAAAGTCCAGACCTTCCTTGTTTTGAACCTTCTTCTACATTCCTCTCTACCCCAAGGCCCCTCTCAGCAGAATGGCACTTTCGTGAGGGTCTTGCTGGGCCCTGGCCCTACACACTGGCAGAGTGGCTGGGATGTAAAGCCTGGCAGGTGTGTGTCCTGCTAAGCTCTTCCGTCACTAGCTGCTCAGGGAGCTGACTCTGGAGGGCCCATCTAGAAGTGACCTCGGCATGATGGGGTGCTCCTCCCCAACCCAGCCACTGGGCCCAGTGAGCCGGGTGACTGACATCACCTTCCCCATGGTTCTGCATCCTCATCTGCAAACTGAAAAGTGAAGTAATGAACACAGGAAAGGCAATGAGACAGATTCAGGTGCATAATAGGTGCCAGGCGTGCACCGCTCATTATTATTAATATTATTACGACCTTACCCACGTGGGGTAACATCATCCACTAAAGTCCATAATCTGAATGTGGTCCTCGGAATGGCAGGAGGGATCCTGTGGGGCTGGAGGAAGGTGAGGCTCCTGCAGTGGAGAGAACTAGGAGAAAACTAGAAATGTAGAGCAGGAAGGACCGAGGGAGGTCCCTGGGAGGGGAGAAAGGAAGCCACTGCAGGCCACACCCAATGTGCCTGTGGGCCAACACTGCACCTTTGCAATGGGCCGAGTGGGTGGACAGCTGAGGTACCCAGCATCATAGGACCCAGAGGCCGCATGCCCCGTGCTTCACCCCTCACTGACGAGAGGTGTCAGAAAGCAGTAGAGGTGAGTTTGGGGCTATGTGTGGCCGAGGAGCCCCTCTGCTTGGCCTCTTTCCTGCTGGGATGAATCTGGTCTGAGGGTTTTCGGGCTCATTGGCAGGGGTCTGAGCTCCCAGGGCTGAGCCCACACTGACTGCCCCTGGCTGCACCGCCCCCGAGGCCAATGCCCTTGCCAAGTGTGCACTGAGCACTGAGCCTGTATCGGGCACTGAGGAAGGGCAGTGTCGGGGTTCACATCTAGCTGTTCCCCAACAGCCCCATGCACCCAGCGGTGGGGCTTTGGGGAGGTGACTGGATCATGGCGGCGTGACACTCACCATTGGATTAGCCAGCAATGAGTTAGTTTACAGCTGACTTTTGGTTAGGAAGGAGGGTCTGTTTGGAAGAGGTGTGTGTGGCCGGAAGGGCTCATCTCTCCCTGCTCCTCCCTTCACTTGCTCTCTGCTTCCCCACTGCCATGCTGTAGTCTTCTCCGTCATGCTCCTCCTCCAGGCCACTCTCCCCTGGAGTCAGCCGGCTTTGGACTGAAACCTCTACAGACTATGAGCTAAAATAAACCTCTCCTCTTTCAATTTGTGGGTGTCAGGCATTGTGTCCCAGCAATGAGAAAAGTAACTAAGACAAGCAGGAAACAGAAAGGCTGGAAATCCCTACACTTCTGGAGCTTAACTTGTATATTCTATTAGAGTTAGGAGAAAAATAAATTACAGAAGCGCCGACAGCAGGGGTGAGTAAAGACTGTGGCTCCATCGGATTATGACTTCATGGCCATTGTGACATCACAGTGCCACATAGTATCCAGTGTTCACTTGATCCTGGGGCCAGAGAATCCATTGCTCTGCCAGTCACATGCCGTTAGGTCCAGTATGCAATACTTGATGATGCTAAGTGACTATGTCACTGGGTTTTGTGCTTAGCAGGTATACTTTTAATCATCATTCTAGTGTCCTCCTCCTACTATGAAAGCAAAATGTTTACTGTAAGACAATATGGTGCATCATGCCAACAACAGCCTCACACATCTTACATGTACCATGTCCCTTGATTACATCATTTTCTCTGGTGCTTGATTTACTTTTGTGCTGTTTTGTTCCTCGTGGTCTTAGGAGCAGTGCGATGCACCTCCTGTGTGCAGTGTAGCTACGGTGTGTCCTGAGCTATACCACCTGGGCTGGTGTATGTATATGGTCTGGAGTTCACATAATGTTGGACCAACTACTGCTACGATTCTCAGACACATCCCTATTAGGCAATGCATGACGGTAAGCTGGCTGGGGAAGAACAAGGAGACCTTTTGGGTGAAGATGGAAAGGAGGTGAGAAAGCCAGTTCTGGAGGTGTCTGGGAGAATAAAGTGAAGAAGGTACTTCTTGGGGTTGGAAGACTTCTTGGACTGATCTGGTGGGGAACTTTCATGTCCACTCTGTACCCCAGGGGGTGCAGGACTGGAGGTGGTGTCTACATTGAAAGCAATCATGGCAGGCCTGTCTGCCACTGGAGTGTCCAACCTCCCAGCAGAAGGAGGGAAAGGGCACAGGTGAGTAAGGTGGGGCATGAACTCCACCTGCTGCACAAAGTTCTGGTGGGCCTTGGGGTCCAGTGTCCAGTGTCCAGTGTCCCGCCCAAGTGGCCCCCAGACAATACCAGCAGCCTGAGTCAGGAGACACAGGGAGCTAAGGTGCCTCCTCACCTCACTTTCTCCTTGGCATCACTGAAACTCTCTGCCACATAGTAGAGGGGCTGGAACTCAGTGATGGTGTACGGCTGGACGGCCATCTTCTCCAGCTCCAGCGGGAGGAGCTTTGGTTTATCAGATAAGCAGTACTGCAGGTGCACAGTGAAAAGCTCTGTTAAATCCAGACTGGTGATCCCTGCCACATTCCACCCCCTCTGGCTCCTTGTACACCCCAGTCAAAGGCAGTGAGCTCTGCTGCATATACCAGATCCAACCCTCCGTAGCTCATCTAAAGCTTACACCCAGGGTAGAAAGTGATAAATTCATTCTAACCACCTCCAAATATGGTGATTGACTGATAGACACTGCATGAGCAGCCACCTTTTCCGGCATGTGTTTGCATACGTGCAAGGCTGTAAGCCCAGGTCAAGCTTGGGATCAGGAGGCCCCTCTTCCCTGGAGGCCCCTGAACTTGCAGTTGATTCCCCAGTCTGCACCTCAAAATGGATGCAAATGGGGCTTCAACAGCCCCAAGGGCAGGAGAATCGTGTCCCTTACCCGACACATTCACATCCATTTTGGACTCTTTTAGGGTCATACCTGTAATTCACCAAAGGATGACAGGAGCCCAGCACCATAGGCCTTGATGGAGTCCCCTTGTTTGCAGAGCCCAAACTCCACAGTGAACCAGTAGATCTAGGGTGGAAAGTCAGGCTGAGAGCAGACCCTAGGAAGGGGAGGGCAGCGGCCAGCCCAGGACCAAGGAAGGGAATGCCCAGGTGGGTGGTTGTCTAAACCAGTGTGGTATTTCTCTGGTCCTGAGTCTCACCCTATCCCATCTCCGATTGAACTAAGAGTCAGCAGAACCCAAGGTATGACAGGAGCCTCTGGAAGGTACTAAGGAGCCCCCCAACATACCCCAACCAGCTCCACTCTCTTTAGGAAGGAACTCCTCCATTCCTTTTTCTTTTTACTCCTTGGCACAGAGTGATATGCTCCTAAAACGATCTTAAATGAGCAGGGGTTAGGTAATCCAGGCTCAGCTGCTGGAAGTAGGGGATTCAGTATTGAAAGAATCAGTGCAGGACACATCCCATCCTCCATGCTAGAAACTGGGGCACTGCTGAAGCCAACCACTCTGATAACCAAGTTGTTTTCTTTCTACAGCTCCCAATCCAACATGTCCTAGATGCCTGGGACCAGGAGGGACCTAGCGCTCACTTAGCTGCTGAAGACACAGAGTCCTGGAGGACTGGTGGGAGGTCCCAGGTAAGTGTGTATGTTGGACTAGAGAAAGTTAAACCTGGGAAGGATATTTGAGCTCAGTAGATCTGACCTCCTCAAATGCAGGTGAGAGGTCTTCAGCCCAGGTAAGGCAACCAGCTTATTAAGGGCAGAGAGAGAACCCAGGACTGATTCCAGCCCAGTGTGCCGATAATTTGATTTTTTTGAGAAGTTATGTTGACAACGAGTCTGTTATGATGCTTATGGTAGCTAACACCACTCTCTGAGTTCCAAGTTCATTTTTTGACTCAGAATGAGAAATTTATCTGGATGCTCCTTGCATCTCTGTAGCATCTCATTTTAAAATTCATGCTTACACAAACTGGACCCTTCAGATGCCCACGACACACTTTTAAGATGGCAAGAGGTGCACTGCTGTGCCCATTTTCAGGGATGGGGAAACAAAATCCACATGCCCAAGGTTTCAGAACAGGCATGCGTGAGAGAACCCTACATGTTTTCATTCTTTCTGATGAGCTGAGTTCATAAAATCTTCTAAGTTAATATATCTGAATAGTAGATTTACTTATTTGCAGTCCTTAATTCTAATATAAATCTTTATTTTTCCCATTTCCAGCCTGGGCACTTCATAAGAAATGTGGCTCAGAGTTTGGGGAGGGATGTTCTGAAAGCAGAAAGGAATCCACCTTCTAGGCAGGTTTGCTGTTTCCATAGCTCCAGTCCTTAGATTTCCTTGGGAGAGGGGAGAATTCGGCAAGAATGAAAAGGTCCCTCCACCCCTACCCAGTCTGAGAAAGGAAAGAGCTGAATGCTGGTCCTGTGCAGAGGCAGAAATATAAACTTTCCCTCTCCAAAGCTGTGAATCCAGACCCTACCTTTATGTCCAATGGATCTCAAGGGCTAACTATTACTACCTCTGCGTGCAGCTGATTTAAAAATAAAATCATTAAAGATAAGTCAAAATGGAAGTTTTACTCCTGCAAATGTAACCTGCACATACTGATTTCCCCCCTAAACGTCCTGGCTTCCAAAGGAAGAGCAGATCTTCAAAGATCCACAGCCTCCCGCCACCCACCCCGAGAGCAATGGGACTCACGGTTGCGAGTTTCTCAATGTACTCGTCAGGGGCACCCAGAGAGGCCAGGCCAATCTCCTGCAGTTGTGGGGAACCAGAGTCACTGGCACGGCCCATCTTCAAATGTCACCCCCATGCCAACACTGCATGTTCTGCCAAGTCTCCCCGGCCACACATCCCAGAATCGCGGATCCCCAGAGCAGGAGGGAGCCTTCACCATGGCTTCTGTCATTTGTTACAGCTTATAGATAAGGAAACTGAGGCACATAGAGGGGAGGTGGCCTGCTCATGGTCACACAGCTGGCTGACTCCAGCCCAGGGATGAGTCCCTAGGGCACAAGCTGACCGTTCCCAGAGCACTGAAGAGTCTTAGTCCCATATCCTGAGACAGCACAGAGGGATGCAGATGGCATGGTGGGCCAAGGCCCCAGCCGGTATTTACACAGCTGGAGCTGAAATGCCAGGTGTCAGGGATCCCTTCGCATCACAGCTCCAAGTGCAGAGCCCCTCAAGTGCTCCGACTCTTCTACAGCACTTGCTCCAGCCTGCTGTGTGTGTGTGCGTGTACGTGTGTGTGTGCACATATGTGTCTTTCCAACTATATCTATCCATTCATTCTAAAAATATGTAGAGTGCCTTCTATGTGCCAGGTAATATACGAAATAGATGAAGATCGTTGACCTGTGGTTTGTAGTGGAGATGCAATAAATAATAAGTCGACACAGATATGTGAAAAGTGATACGTCCCTCAGAAAGAAGAAACATGGAGAGGAAGGGACGAGGGGGATTGGGAGTTTCAGGGACTCTACCGAGGGTCTGCAGTAGCAGGTAGGCATCCAGGGCAAGCATCACTGAGAAAGTGATATTTGGGCAGGGACGTGACGGGGACCATTGGTTCTGGGGACATCGGAGGCAAACGCACTGTAACCCAGGCCTACAGCCAGTGCAGAGGTTCCTCAAGGAAGGCAAACGTAGCTTGGCTCAAGGAACAGAGAGGGAGCGGTGTGGTTGGAGTACAGTGAGGGCTAGTGGTGGGTGAACAGCTGGAGCCTGAGGATACTTTTAGACATTTTAGGATCTGGCGTTTTCCTTTCAGTGAAATGGGAAGTGTTCCAGGGTTCTGACCAGAGAGGTGGACACAATCTGATCTATCTCATCAGAGACTCGCGGATCGTCAGAGCGGGCTGCAGGGGCTGCGGGACCCCAGGGAGTTGGCTGCTGTAGTCCACAGGGGGAGAAATGCTAGGGGCTGAAGCCAAGATGCTAGCCATGGGGCAGCGGGACAGGGGTTCCACACATATGTTGAAGGTAGAACCACAGAACATTCTGACACTTTGGTTGTGAGGTGAGAAAGGAAGAGAGAAAATCCTCAAATTCTTTTGATTTCAGCAGCTGGAAGGATGGAGTAGCCATGGACAGATATGAGGAGGTCTCCAGGGTAGAGAAGGTGTCACAATTCTCTTTTGGACAGGATGGTAGAGATGTGTAATAAGTTCCACTCCAACCACCCGCCCAGGTGTGCGAAGTCCCGAGTCTAACAGGACCCACTGATAAACCCAAGGTCAAAATGGTGCCCTGTTCGCTTACTCACCATTCTTTGTAATCTTTCCCTGTGCTCCATCCGCACCCTACAATTTCCCGTGGTGGGAAGCGGGCCGTGCCATTAGATCAAAAAGAGATATTATCAAGGCAATTTCAAGTGAGTCCCTGCCTTAGGATTGTCCAGATCAAAGTTGCACCTGTGTGACAGTTCTCGGGCCATAGTAACAAGTCCAGGACTGAAATCCGTCCTGAGTAACCCATATCATCATGGCAGCTGTACCTGCACTGTCAAGGATGATTTTCCCCAGGTGAAGTTCAACTAATCCCTAAGGACAACCACTTCCCAATGCACCACCATCTCTAAGCACCATAATTCCCCAAATCGCACACAGAGTATGAGTTTTCTTTGTTTAGAGAATTTGTGGCTTACAAATACAGCATCCCTTACTCCCAAGCAATGAGTTCAGCTTTTTGTTTGGTTTGTTTGTGTCAAATACGAAGTGATACCCTCCTCGTGTGGCAGCAGAAATCTTATTTCCTGCAGCTGAGGGGAAATGCTTATAAAGGTCACACATGACATACAATGTCTTTGCTCTGAAGTTCACACTGAGCCCCGAGTTCATTCATAATCACTCTGCTTGATCCCCATTCTTCCATGTGAGTAATAGCACTGGCAGAGAAAGCTTTAACTGCTCTGCTTCTGTGGAAACTGAGTCACGGGGCAGCCTGGCAACTTGGCTCAGGTTACAAATGTGGCCAGTGGCAGGATCGGGGATTGCGTGTCAGAGGCGTCCTTCAACTTTCCGAGACCCTGGCCACCCAACCAGGCGTGAGGCTGCTGCTCACAGCCTGAAGAGAAGTGCTAGAATCTTTCTTCTCATCCCAAAGCACTGTCAGGTAGCTTGCTCACTATGTGAAAGGTGAATCAGGTCTAGGTTTCTGCTTTGATGGCAGGGATGAGAAATTTGTTTATTTATTTATCTACCTATTTATTTTGTCAACTATACGTAAGATTATTGGCTTTGGATTCTCAGTAAACATCATCTTATTTAATTCAAATATCAGATGTGACCAAAACTACTGTGAATTTTTTAAAATTTAAAAACTTTTTACAGTAAGAAGCACATTGCCATGAATCCTCCTCAGAATACTATCCCTTGCTTTGAACACACTTATGCCAGCTTTCTTGCTGCTTTCTAAAGCAGCTCTACAAGTCCTCTTTTGTGTCTTTAGTTGTGTTGTCATGGTTTCTTTGATGTCCAGAATTGTTCCAAAACATTTACCTTTCATGGTCATTTTGACTTTGGTGGAGCCATAAGCCACACGGTGCCAGATCTGGTGAATACGGTGGATGAGGACAGAGGACATGTATGTAATGTATGTAAGGCTTGAGCGGCCTTTCTGATGGATGGCACCCAACAGCAGTATTCACCATAGTTTTTATCATACCTGATAAATACCAGGTATTGTTTGATCCATCCTTGTACATGCACAAAGGACTGGCTGACAAAGTAGAAAGTGGAAAAGTCCCTGAGGAGACAACCAGGTATGGTGGTGTACGCCTGTAATCCTAGCACTTGGAGGCTGAAGCGGGAGGATTTCTGTGAGTGAGTGTGCAGCCAGCCTGAACTGAGCTACATAGCAAGACCCTGTCTCAAAGAGACAAAGTCCCTGAGACAGTGGGGAGGGAAGTCCTAGGAGATCGCAGAAGAAGGCAAAGGGCTTCTGCATGGAGGTCAGAAAGACTTTCCTGCGTGGAGAGGCCCCCACACGCTCACTGGTAGCCAGGTGGGATTTGCAGACTGGACCACACGCATCTCATTCCCAGGCTGAGCCGTTCACCAGCTGCAAGCCAAGCGCCCTGGAGCGCCATGCAGCTGTCCCTACAGAAACACATGTGCTTCTTGCGTGGAGTCTCAGAGCTGGACCCGGTTCTCACTTTGTGTGTGGGGGGAGGCTCCCCGGGCCCCACTCTGTACCCGAGGCTAAAAAGCCCCATTCCATACCTGGGAAAATTGGGCAAAGCTGCGGTCTGAAAACAAGGGCACATGTCCCAGCAGCTCGTGGCAGATGTCCCTGGAAGACAGCAGGCAGAGCTGCAGCAGCGTCGTCCTGGGAGCCGCGGGGGGAGGGGGGCAGGACGGAAGAGCCACCTGTGCCACGAGCATCCCACAGGCACCTAAGTGAGCCTCGGACACGAGCCCTTCCCATCTCAAGTCCTCTCCTCAGTCAAGACTTACCGGGGACACGCAATACGCTCAGCATCCCCAGTGGGATCTCACACTGCTCTTGGTCTGGATGGAGACCAGCAGTCAGGAAAGACAGCCACCCGTGTTTAACACTGTCACTGCCCCCACCATTAGGGGCAGCTCTTTTCTGATCAGCAGCAGGGAACTTGGGGAGGGGGGAAATGATCTGGGGCACCCTGTTGTGTTTTATTTTATAAATTTCTGCCAGACTAAGGAAGTGGCTGGATCCCAAGGTCGGAAGCAGAGTGGCCAGCCTCTGTCCAACTCCAGCTAAGACACAGTCTGGGCAAGGTGCAGCTGGCACAACCCAGATGTGCGCTTAGCAGGGTCTGAGATAACGGCTGTGGGGTGTGCTCTGCCCCTCCCCGTGCAGACGGCAAAGCTCTGACTTGGAAACTTGAGGGGGACCTCTGGCCTCCAGTGCCCTGGTTCATAGGGTGCCCGGATCTGTGTCCGAATGTGGCACAAGCGCAGAGAGAAAACCCCAGGAGTAGGTGAGTTCCTCTCCCACTGCTACCATCCATCCATCCATCCATCCATCCATCCGGGCAGAGTCCTGCGCACCAGCCTGCATGAACCCAAACCCTTTTCCGGGAGCAAGAGAGGACAGCGGATGGTACTCACGGCTCGGGCGTGTACATGGGCTTGGACCTGTGTCTGATGTACTGTGTGCAGTGGAAGACTCTAAAGGCCAGGCCGCCCAAGAAGTCTCTCGAGGACAGCAGGCCGGCCACGGGCCGCAGGCGGAAGCCGGTACAAGCTTGGGAGCAAAGAGGAGCAGCAGCTAAGGCCCATCCTGCAGAGCCAGGTCCAGCAGCAGGGGGCGCGGGCTGCGGGAGCTCAGGCTGTGGCACCAAGCAGGCAGGGTGCAGCCTCTGCCCCGCGGGTTTCCAGTGGCTGACGCAGTTCAGGTAAGTCACACATTTGCGAGCCTTGGTTTTCTCATCGTGCTTTGGGACGGACCAAGCACCAGAAGAGGCAGGAACAGGAAGGGCCTCGGCGGAGCCCCGCCCTCGCGCCGCAGCTGCACATCGAGCTCCGCTGCTGTCCCTTAGGGCCCAGCGCGTGTGCCCCACTTCCGCGTGCAGTGTGAAGAGGACTGGAGGAGTGAGGAAGGGCCAGCTCTGCCTTCTCCCTGGGCCTCAGTCTCCCCAGCTCGTGAGGAGGAAGCCGGTGCTCTCGGTGTAAATCACCTCCCGCCCTCCCTCTCTCTCCAGGTCCAGGTGTGAATTCTGTCCTGGCTGCGTGGTGGCCCCGCCCTGTGAAAGCCACTCACCCCCTTACTCAAGGGGTGAGACATCAGGAAGTCCATCCTGACCGTACAGCTTTACCACATAGCTTTTTCTAAACCTGACTTTCTTCAGAAAGTCATCATTGCTTTGGTTCCTGTAAGGTGTGATCAAAAATATGGTGAATGTTTAAATTGAAAATTTTAAACACACACGTTGCCGTGAATTCCCCTCAGAAGACCCCTACTTACAGCACACTTATCCCCTCGTTCTCCCCGATGTGGGGGCCTCTTGCATGTACCCCAGTTCCAGTCTCACTCCCCTCCCTCGAGTTTCCTGGTGTCTTAGCCCAGAGCCCTGCAGCTCTGCACAGATGTGACGCTGAGGAAATCCTTCATTTCTGTAAAGCCCTGCTCTGTCTCCCTGCTTTTCGTCACTCTTCCTGGCACAAATACATGGCCAGCATGAGTCTGCTGATTGTTGGGATTTTGCTGAGCTAATACCTTCTTGACAGAAAAGAAAATACCTATGAGGGATGATTTATTGATTACTTGATTGATTTTGGTACCGGGGATCAAACTCAGGACCTTGCACGTTCGAGGCAAGCGTAGTGCCACTGGGCTAAATCCCCAGCAATGCGGGATAATAAAAACAAAAAAAACAAAACAAGATTCAGTGTAAAGAAAACATTGCCAGGAACGATGGGATAAGTGTGTTCAGAGTTCAGGCAGAGTATGTTGAGAGGTTTAATGGAAATATGTCTTTTCCTGTAAATTTAAAAAAACAACAACTAAACACTCACCAGATATTTGGTCACCCCCGTGTCTTGCCCGGAAGTGCTGTGCGCTCCGTGGCCACGTGGTCCACAGGTGCAAAGGCGCAGAGCGGGCCAGCAGAGCACACGGGGTGGGGGAGGCTCAGCTCTACAATTCCACAAACGCCGACTCTCGCTCGCCAGCACCCGCCCCTCCTGGCAGGGCCCGTGCCCCGGACTCACTCTGCAGGAACTGGGAAACGTCCTCCAGCTGGGGGATGTTGTCCTCGCGGAAGCTGCAGTACTTTTCCAGAAGTGGGAAGATGTGGTTGTGCTCGTGGCAGGCGTGGGTTTTATACAGGGACTTCAGGGTCCTGAAAACCATCCCCCACGTTTCCTTCTCCTCCTCTGTGTACTCCACCTGGGGGATGGGCTGCCCACTGGGACATGGGCACAAACAGGTGTGGGAAAGTTATTCGGGAGAGGAAAGCCCCACTTCTGGATGCAGGAAACCCTGTCTCGGTTCCCCCTGGTACAAGAGTAATCTGATGAAATGGTGATAGGCACTCTCAGCTCGCTGGGTACACTGAGGATTTGCTCTTCCTTTGGGAAATCCCTTGGCCTTTCTGTTCTTCTGACTCCCCAAGTGTTTACCCAGGGGGACACCCATACACTTTCCTTCGGGGGCCAGGCAGGTACCCTCCAGGCAGAAAGTAGCAACTATACTCTAAGTCATTCTTTTGAAAGGTCCCGAGCTGAGTTCCGAACAGGGAGAACACATAAAAACCGAACGCAGCCTGGCCTCCAGAGACAGGGACCTCCTGGAGCTGCAGGCCTTGTGCCTCTCCGAGGACACAGCGTCCGGCACAAAGTGGGACTGTTTATCCCAGAATGATGGCTCAGGCTCCCAGCGAGGCCCTCCTGCCCTTTCAAAGTTACAGCTCATCTGAGGCCATGAGAGCAAAGTCACTGTTGTCCTCCACAGAAAGGTGGGCAGGGATGAGGAGGAAAGGACAAATTTTTGTTTAGGAATGGAAAGCAAGATGATTCACAGAATCTTTTGGTGGCCAAAAGAGATTGTGAATGAGCATTAGGTGAGCTCCTGCCTGATCGTGCATGGTTATTTCAGGACCAAGTGCTGATGGAGGAGGAGAAAAAGGCTCTGGAAATAGTCAGAGGCTGGTTCAACATTTAGCCGCGCCATTTCCCAGCTGTGTGGGCTTAGACAATTTGGTAAACCTCTCTGAGCCTCAGTCTCCGCACTGACATAGGCTAATAATAAATACCATTTGCAGGGGGGTGGACAAGGCCAAGGGAAATGCTATGGATAAGGCTCCTAACATTGTTATTACTGATCAATAATAACCACTGGATAACTGACCACTATCATTATAACCGATTCTCGTTTAAAAAGAAAGGCATCTGATAATTTGGAACAAATTTCAAGAAATAGCTGCATCTTGGGCATCAAGATGTCGTCCTGGTTGATATTTGTAATTCCCAGGACCCGAAAACTCTTCTTCCAGTACAGCATCCTCCTCCCCGTCAGATTATGAGGTGCAGACACCAGGAAGCTCCACTCCAGCCCCACAGGTGATCAGATGACCAAACTTGATCAATCAGAGAGTCTCATTTCCCTGGCCACAGGGATTGGCTGAGAGCTGCTCCTGTCCCTGTCAAGCCTGTGGGACTCAGTGGCAGAACTCCTGATTGGGCTGGGAGGTCAGCCTAGAGGTGCTGGGGTCCATCCCCAAGACAGAGAGGCCAGTGCCTGAAAAGGAGGCCCTTACAGAGGACGGTGAGCCCTAGAGAGAAGGAGACAGAGTCCTGGATCTGCCTCTGTCTGCAGTCACCAGACACCCTCAGAGTGGCTGACAATGACTGGAGATAAAAGGACTTAGAACCTAATGCAGTCGCCGCATTGTTACATGACCTTGCAAGCTACTGAGCCTTCATAAGCTCTAGTTTCCACCTTTGAAAGGTGATGAGTTCTTATTAAGCCTAACTAAATATCTGCAGAGCAGTCAGCAAAGCCTCAGACACACAGTGAGGAGGGGATGAATACGGCTGCTGAGACGATCTCTCTGTGGGGCAGAGGGGGGACAGAGGGGTCATCCTGAGTTCCTTCCTGACTATGTCTCTTCTTATTCCCTAAAACAAGGGGAGGTGTCCCCAAACATTGACTTAGAGAGTTCCCAAGAACCCAAAATAGCCAAGAGAGTCTCTTCCCAAACAACGTATTTGATATCTGCATTTTCTTTTGGCTAAAATAGAGTAGTGAGGAGCCTAGGACCCAAAGAGAAAAAACAGAAGCACCCTAAAATTGCCCTTCGCAGCCGGGTCGGCCCAATGAAAGAAGGACACTGAAGCCCGGCTGGCCTGAAACTGCCACGGTTCATTATTCCAGTAGAGCAGCCAGACCCTTCTCGAATGTAAATGATTTTCTTTTTCCTTCTTCCTGGTTCAATGTGGAGAAGAGCAGAAGTGGTTTCATTTGGGACTGAAGCCTTTTATAATTACCTCAGATGTTGTATAATTAGACCACAAAGCTTGGGAGGAATCTGGGCCCCTGCACAGTGGGTAATTTTGTTTTGTCTAGCAGCAGCTTTTTAAACACATGTTATTAAAGGGACGGCTTAATCTCTCTCTCTTTCTCTCTCTCTCCCTCTCCCTCTCTCTTTCTGCCTAAAGGCTGGATGAACCACGCTGGTGCCTTCCATCCTAGTGTCCTAGAGCAAGGACCACGCATTCTGGCGCCCCTGTCTCTTTTCCCCAGTAGGCAAGACTCACTGGCAGTAGTTGTAGGCAATGTCAGCAAAGTACTTCCGTCTCGCTCGGTACACGGGATCCTTGAAGCCCTAGGAGAGAGCAGGTATTTGGTCACTCGAGGCTTTAGAGGGAGGGCCAGGCCTCTCCACCAGGGCTCACATGGAGGCTTCCGGGTGATGACTGTGAGGGTCCCCTTCTCCTGATTAGGAAGGAGGTCTCGTTAAAATAAAAATACAACTTCCATTCAGTGCAGGGTGAGCTCTGAAATATGAACTGGGAGTACAGCAGCGTATTTTAAAATATAAAATAAAAGTCTCAGTTCATCATAAGATGAGAGCACCCCTACCGGGCTTTGTGAGCCACCCATCCTGAGCAACGCCTTCCATTCAGTGAAACCCTCCCTGCCTTCAGGTTCCAAGTGCCCTTGCCTGAAAGAGATCTCATCCACAGCATTTCTAACTCCACACCTGCTCAGGCAGAATTAGTAGGGTAGACATCTATGATGAATATCCACTTACTTTCTGGCCAGTGGCTGCCTCCTAACTTCCTGATAGACAATCGTATATATGCTCACAGCTATGGCAATTTTTCAAGTCACCATTTATTGAGCACCTACTATGTACCAACTGATATGTGCTAGGAAATTATTTTATTTCTAATTTATTTATAAAAGTGTATAATTACGTTGGTTATTTTAGTTTATGATTGTCATGTATTGTCAGATAGGATTAGTTCCTTCTTTCCAGAATAAACAGAGGCTCAGAGAAGTGCAGTCGGAGTAGAGGAGAGCCCAGGCTTGGGATCACCCAGTTCTCTGGTCTCCCCGCTGCACTTCAGTAACTGTCAACCTTTACAGCCTGGCAGGGGCTCACCCACGGGAGCAGTCCACTCAGGAAACGAACAGGATGACAACGGTTTCTTCTCTGAGGCCAACAGGCAGGCTCCCCAACCACTCCCAAGCAGCACACTTCCAAGTGAAAAGGGGCCAAGTGTATCTGTAAGTGTTTGGGGCGGGCGGGGCATATCCTGAGTCAGGCATGACCACGATGATTAAAAGAGAATTTCCCAAAAATATTTACTGTGGTCTAGATTTTCCTGAGACGAGCCGGGCCCACCACTGCAGAACGAGGCTTTGCTCCCTTCCAGCTCACCCAATACCTTGAGGTTGAATTCTCTGTCCCCAACCCTCCTACCCATGAACGAATCATTAGGGCACCAATAAGTCAGGCTTGTATCACAGAGCACATTATTGAGAGGAGTCTACTAAAAAGACAAATATTCCCTGGTTTTGAAATACTTCTTTTATTTTGTTTGCCTGATTGGGTGTCTGGGTTGGTCAATGGTTCATTATCTCAGGGTCAACCAGTAATTCCAAAGAACCAGAGGTCAAAGTATTTATGCAACACTGTTTCAACTAAGAAATCTGTGGCAGAGAACTTGGCCCACAAAAAGAACTCCATGCACTCGTCAAAAGGAAGAAGAAAAAGAAAGGGGGAAAGTTGGTTTCCTAGGATGAATTTGGAGAAATAGAAAAATCCAAATGTTTCAAACTAGAAAGTTAAATAAAATTACTATGTTTCTTGTTCCAAACCCCAATCCCAGTTACAGTAAGTGATTATTTAGTTTTGAAAATCTTCTGTGACATGGTTGTTACACGGCATAACCCAGTGCTTTCTTGGGGCTCTGACTGAACAGAAGTGGGACAGTTAGGAAGCAGAGACCTGGGAGCCTCAGTCCAGCTCCCCTTCTCCTGGGTGAAGGAAGGTTGGCTTGGTGCCCTGTGGTAAGAAAATGGGGCCCCGTAATTGGGTTTCAAGCAGCACTAACGCACCTTTTAAGAACCAGTCTGTGGTCAAAATAAAGAAAACTTATATGTCCACAGTTTCATACTCTGCATTCAAAACTCTAAATTTAAATATAGATTTGGTGCCTGTTATCATTATGGTTTGGATTGAGGATGTCTCCCAGAGGCCATGTGCACTCATAGGTGGGGCTTTTTAGAGGTGACTGGATCCTAGAGTGTGCTGATTAGTCCATGGATCAGTTTAGAGCCAATGAGCTGTGGGGAGGCGGAGCCTAGTTGGAGGCAGGTAGCTGGGGGCGTGGCCTGGAGGGGTATAAATCCCTCCCTGGCCTTCTCTTTCTACTTCTTGCTTTTGCCCACTCAAGACAGCTGGCAGAATGTTTGTTTCTGTATTTTGATCTGGAAAGGTGGACAGTGAAGCCTCATGGTTTATTCACAGAAGGGTCCTTCATGACAGATCTAGCACCTTGAGGTGCCCTGGTCCCACCCAGCTGGCAAGTTGAGATCTGAGAGTTGAAGCAGCAGACCCCACTTCACACCTGGACCCCTTTGAATCCCCAGTGGCTCTGCTCATCTTTTCTGTGTCTTGTCTACATGGTTTAAGGTTTTCCATGCATGAAGACAAAAGCTTGATACAAACCGTGTGTCTGGCATCAACTACAGCGGAGGGAATATACAAATATACAGAACAGAGGGTGGAAGGAATATACCAAACTCTGACAAATGCTACTTTCGGGGTGTGGGAAGAATGGGCCAGACAATTGTTTTAGTCTTCGGTACTATTTATGCTTCTGAGATTTTCTGTTGCCAACGTGGATTTCTTTAATAATTGGGGAAAAAGCAAAATAATATTAAAATCCATCTTGAATCATTTTGGGGAAGAGGCAGAAGGGAAATACAGCATGCATGAATAACATACCACGTGTGCTTCCGTACAGGAGAGTTGCTAACCATGGTCTTTTCCAGCTCTGTGTTTCTAGGAAGTTCACTGTCAACTGTACGGACCCCGGCCAACAAACCACGGGGACTCCTGCCCTCTCTGTCTCCAATGGGGGAACAGAGCTCTGGCCTTGAAGCCCAGCCTGGTGGGGACTTGTCCTTGCATCTTCCGGTTGCCAGGTGACCACGAGTTCTCTGTGGCCATCCATACAAAATGCTTTCTGAAGGAGGCTGCGGTTGGGAATGACTGATCACCCTGTCTCGATTTAGACTAATAGCAGCAATTTTTGTTGCTGCATGTAACCAAGGATGTTTCGACAGGGAAATATATTGTTGGTGATGGGGTGGAGAAAGAAGGAGACAAGGAAGAGGGAAGGAGGGAAAGTGTGGAGAATTCTGCAAGATGCAAAACGGCGACATCTCCTGAGCCCACCTGGAGCCCTTTTCCTTTGGCTCAGTTCTGTCTTGGGGTTGTGATGTGTTTGCATGTGTGGACGGGAGGTTCTGGGGAAAATATAATGCTATGAGGTCTATCAGTAGGTCCTCTGAGGATTCTTCTAGACTGAGGTACTCAGTTCTTCATTTCTTGATATCCCAGCTGAGGCAAAACCTCAGGGACCCCTGCCTTGGCGACTCAGGAGAGAGACACACTGTCGGGGTCAGGCGGGCCGCTGTGGGACATCGCTGTGTCACTCACTGAGGCCGACTCACCTCACACGGCCTTCGCCTCCTTCTGCCTGGATGAGCTCTCGAGTCAGGCGACTGCGCAGGGTCGTGTGGCTTGAGTGATACAGACAGGGTGCCGGATGAGACTCTGAGCACACAGCGGGCATGCAAACAGTGACACCTGGGCGCCACAGTGGGGGAAAGCCGCGCACAGGGGAGCCTGGCTCAGATCCCCAGAAGGATGCGCCCAAACTGAGCAGGAGCCTGAGAGTCTTCTGGGCCTCTTCAGCGCCACCTGCGAATTCTTACCTCACTCCCTACATCTCATCTGGTCACTGGGAGAGCAGGGTGCTAGGCCACGAGGGGTCGCACTGGTACCACCAAGTGCCCACATCCCGCCCTGTGAGCCCTGGCCAGGGAAGCCTGGAGGCGACAGGCCCCTTCCTTCGTTGTCCTGTTGCTGCCTGCTTGCTCAATACCAGCAAGACCCGGAGCCTGCTCCAAAAGAGAACTGGGTACCGGCCACCCAAGCCCATGCCCTCCGGCGCCTCGTTTTTATTCTGGCCCATGCGCCCTTCACGTGCAGGGATCCAGATCCGAGCCTGCCCACCCCACCTCTCCACCTGTGTGGCCTTCTCCCTGAACCTGCTGCCCACCTTCTCTGCCTCTGCCGCCCCCTGCTGGACGTCTGCAGCTGCTCCCACCTGGCTTCCCTTCCCTCAGCCCTGCAAGTGGCTTCCGCAGCCCTACTGCCACCAACTCCACCCGAGCGAGGGACTCAGCAGCCCAGCGGGTGAGGATGTCGCCTTTGTCAGCCACGCTCCCAAGTCCATCCCAGTTTCCTCAGCACAGCTTTGAGGTGCTGCTCGATCCAGCTATGTCTCTGCCTCTGACCCTGCCCGCTGGTGCCCTGTACCAGGGTCCTTCCAACCCTCCAAACACACCAGGGCTTCCCCTTCCCCAAGCTCCTGGGTGAACAAGCTCCTGCCTGCTGCTTCCACGGTGACAGAAAACAGCTTCGTGAGAGGCTTTCTGTGACTTCCCTTGCTTATCGGTTTCCCCTCCAGTACACCTGTTTCTCCTCTCCGTCAATAAGGACTAAACACAAGAACTTGGTCAGCAGCACGGGGCATTCTCAGCCATCCCCTGGAGTAGGAACTGTTAAGAAAATGATGCAAAACTTCAGCAAAAAGGTAAAAGAAAATGGGCCTGCTCCTTTTCAGTGTCACCTTCGGTCATCTTCTCAGAAGTTCACTGTAGGCCACAGGGAAACATATTTACCACTTATTAACCAGGACTCTTCAGGCAGCTGGTGGAGAAGGTAGGTAAGTCACAAGATACCTCAGGGTCCAGATGCACAGTCTCTGTCTGGCGGGCAGGGCTGCTCTCATGGTAGTGGCCTCACTGCCTGATGGGATGTTAGTCCCCGTGCCACGGTTCCCACTGTCTATTCCAGCGCTCTGTTCTGGGTGGCGGCAGACCCAGTGGGGTCTTGGGGTTTCTTCCCAGCGTCTTTGCCTCACTGGCAGTTCCCTCCGTCACGGCCCCCGTGGCTCTCTGCCAGGTGCTTACGGTAACTTGTGTGTCCTTAACTGTCTGAGGATGATGCATCTCTAGCGAGTCTCGGGATGGACTGTGGAAGGGCTTCAGGTAGAGCAGGGAGGCGAGGAGAGGAAGCAGAAGGCGAGAAGGCAAAAGCAGCCTTGTCGCTGGGGAATTCGCTCCTGAGCAGAGGAACTCAATGCCTGTACCTCGGGGGGTTAAAACGTCCTTTAAGAGACTTGAATCAAGCAGTGGAAATACACACAGAAGGGCAGAGGTGACTGAGAGGCCCCTGGAGGGTAGATCTTTACCCTACACACAGGCACAGGCGGCAGATGAGTGCGGACGGGGAACTGGGGCTGAGGAGGGAAGTCGCTGGTGCTGCCCAAGCTCTGCCCTGCCTCACTTGTTCAAAGTGCAAAAATCTCTCTCCCAGTGGCCCTGTGGCTGAGCTCCACTCAGTGGAATTTGAGTGACCGGATGTGTGGGTCGTGTCCCGCAGGGGTGACTTCCCCTCTGGAGAGGACTCTTCGGGGTTGGAGGAGGAGACAGCCCAAGTGCTATGTGGAGCGCGGCCCCACTGAGCCACGCTGCCAGGCTGTCCCCACTGAGCTGGCTGTGCAGCCGGGCTCTTGATAATGGTTGGCCTGCTGTGATCTCCAGAGAGCCCTGCTCGGTTTGCCCTTTCTGGAAGTCCTCTCTGACCAGGCGGCGGTCCACAGTAACGTTGGTGCCAACTCCTTAAACCTGCTGTGCCTTATGCACATTCCAGACTTCCTACTGAAATCTCTACCTGCACACCAGCATTATAACATGGCTGAAAAGGGGCTTCTACGGGCAAGGAAGCATGAGGGACCTCAGGTGAAATCGACTTTAATTTTGGATGACTTACCAAAGCCCCTAATGAGATATGGGATTGTCTATGCTTCCCACGGGGCCACAGAGCACGGCTTCTGCTCTTTGATGATGGGATGTTTTCCACAGGCTGCAGTCTGGGAAACACGCTCTAGACTCTTCCACTTGTGTGTGTATTCGTGCCTCCCAGGAGGTGACAGTCACCAGAAGTGAGTTTATTTCCGGCCTGTGCTGAGTGTTTGAGACCCTGAGATCATCACCACAGCCCGCGGCAGACACAGGAGGCAGGCAGGCTGCAGGAGGGAGACCCCTGAGCAGGCCCTTAGAAGAGGACAGAGACTGCCCGTGGGAAAGAACAAGTGGGATGCAAAGGAAAAGCATCTTGAGGAAAGGGCCCGGCAGGGTCAGCTTTGGAAATGGAATCAAACACCCGCTTGGATTCAGCCTCTGAAGCTCCGGTTTCAACTCAGTCCTTTTAGGTGGCCGGAACTGTTCCATAGACAAGAGGCGCACAGCCCTCTGTGGCTGGGCCTCCTCATCTGCAGGGGGTGATCAACATTTAAATTAAAGAGCACAGGCTGAGCATTTTGCAGGGTGCCTGGCTCCTAGCCCACGCCCAGGAAACGGTAGTCGCTACACCACCGTGTAAGGTGTGGATGGAGGAAGAAGGCAGGGAGACTGCGGCGGAGGGGTGCAGGCAGGAGGTCGCTCGGCTCGCTTCATGCTTCCACTTGGCTGAAGTCTGAGGCTCTGACCCCCAGCTGCTCCCGGGTTTGGGTCAGCCCTTCTCCCCACTCCTCTCTCCGAGGGCTGCTCTGCAGGCCCCAGATGTAAGCTATGTGACCAAACATCGTGCCTCTTGCCAAGGACGGGATCAGTGAGGAAGCGCTTGTGCTGTCGAGGTGACGGGCAGAACACGGGGTCCTCCTGTAAGGAACAGTCCCTGCCCCAAGGCCCGGCCTGTCCTGGGCCGGTTGCACCTGAGGCCTGGCCTGTGGGGCCGAGTGGCAGGAGGCTCTGCTTCGTGCTTGGCCCTTGGGGACCTGAGCAGAAGCCCAAGGAACAGAGTGAGCCTGGCGCAGCTCCCATGCACCTGATAAGTTGTGATTTTATGATAAAGTTCATGGTGTAGACAGGCCAGGGAGCCAAGGCCACGGCCTGGGTTGGGAAAGAGAAATGAATTCCAGAGAACACAAGGGCCAAGCTGCGTGGGTCTGACGGGAAGGAAACGTTCCTGCCCCCAAACAGCAGGGAACCAGGCGGCCCTTGGAGGACAGGCCAGGGAAGGAAGAGGGGGTGCCAAGGAACAAGGTCCTGCTGATCAGGGCCACGGCCGGGGAAGGGTCCGGCAGGCCGCTTTCCAAGGAAGGATCTCGGGCCTGGACAGAGCAGGTTAAGGGGACATCGGCGCTTTGCCTGCAGTGGACTTTGCCACCCTGGGCTCCACAGGAGTCGGCACCGGAAGGTAGATGGAGACCAAAGTCCCCCAGCTTTACTTTGCTTTGGGGGAGACAGAGTATTTATGGCCCAATCCATGTCAGGAGCCATAAGTACGTCTGTACTTGGTTTGGGGTAATTTGGTTTAGCTTCACAGCTAAGATTCAAGGAAGCCACCAAGGGTCACATGAAGAGGCACAGGAGGGAGGCTGCTTTCCAAGATCATCCTAAGAGTAGGGACCAGAAGCCACCTGTGTGTTCACTGTTGGGAGCCGCTTAGCAGGCAATGGCTCTTTGGGAGGCTGAGGCAGGAGGGTTCCAAATGCAAGCCCAGCCTGGGCACCTTAAAGACTTAGAGATATCCTGCCTCAAAATGAAGCAGTTATAGGCTGGGGTGCAGCTCAGTGTGCAGGCCTTGGGTTCAATCCCCAGTACTGAGAGAGACAGAGAGAGAGAGAGAGGACTCAAACATAATTATTACTTTAGAATACTGAGACTCCACCTCACCCCAGAAAGAATGGCTGCTATCAGGAAATCAACCAGTAACAAACGCTGGCGGGGCTATGGGGAAAGAGGAACCCTGTTCCACTGCTGGTAGGAGTGTAGACTGGTGCAAGCACTGTGGAAATCAGTATGGAGATACCTCAAAGAACTAGGACTGGAAGTCCCATTTGACCCTGCTCTTCCACTGCTGGGGATCTTCCCCAGAGAATTAAAAGAATCATACCACAGTGATATAGGTGCACCCATGTTCATAGCAGCCCAGTTTGTAATAGCTAAAGCTTGGAAACAGCCCAAGTGCCCATCAATTGGAGACTGGATTAAAGAAGATGTGGTTTTTTAATAAAATGGAGTACTACTCGGCCATAAAGAACGAGAGACTAGAGACATTTATAGCTAAATGGACGCATATTGAGGCCATACTCTTAAGTGAAATAAACAGGACACAAGTGTAAATACCAAATAGTTTCTCTAGTGTGAGAAACTGAAAGTGTAAATAAGGATTAAAAAGATTAAAATGAATAATTGATAATTTGCGATAGGAAAAGGTCCAAAGGAGTAGGGAAGTGGGAGGGGAAAGGGAAAGGAAAGAAGGGAAAGGAAAAATTATAAGAATAGAAAAAAATGGAAACGAAGTCTATGTAAATAGGGAAGGGTGGAGGGGGTGAAGGGCGCACAAGGAATGGGGAAAAGTAAGAACCAAGATACATCATGTACAGGTACAAACACCCAATGATGAAAGTAAGCGTACTGTGTACCTAAAATGCACCAATAAAAGAACTTAAGGGAAAAAATTATTACTTCAGAAGAGAGTGGTAAGGGCTGGTTTTTCCTGTTTCGGAGTCTGGGGGCAGGAGACCTGGCCGGCCTGGCCCCGGGAAGCCCCTCTGGGTCTGTGCAGGGCCCTCAGCTTCCCTGAGCACTGGCGGAGGAGTCCTCGGACGCAGCGGAGTTCCGTTCCCAGGGCCAGGGCGAGGGAGAGTCCAGAAGCCAGAGGTGGTCGGGGAGCCCGGGAGGCAGCTGTCCGTCCTCACCAGGCCTCCACGCGCCTGTCTGTGCTGGGGACCCCTCCGCTCTGCCTCCTGGAAGGAGCAAGCTCCTGGTCACCATCAGGACCGCGGCGGGGACAGGACGGACGCCCGGTGACGGGCAGGTGCCGCTCTGCACTGAACCAGCTGAGCCCAACGTGAAAATGCAAACAGCCGCTGGGCACAGGAGCCCAGCCCCGGGCACCTCCGCCCCATCCTCACTGAGCCCGTGAGGTGGGGGACGTTCCCTGCCCAGGGACCCTCAGTCCACAGCTAGTGCAGGAGACCTTTGGAGTCTGAGCCACCCAGGACCCAGAGCCCCAGCGCCACCCCCAGGCCCCAGATGCTGTGCGGAGCCCCCTCTTTGTGAGCATCACAGCCCAGCTTTCAACCCCACCGTCTCCGCCACTCTGCCCCCGGCAGCTGCAGAGCTGGAACACAGTCTGCTCCTTCCCAGGCCTCTCGGGTAAACCCCAGAAGCGGACAGAACCAGCGTGCATGTGCTCGACATAGAGATGATGAGGTTCCTAGACAGGGATTCCTATGTGTTCCAACAATAACCACCCTGACAATGAAGTCCTGTTATTCCTTGCTTCCCCGGCACTGGCACCGGCAGGCACAGAAGCAGAAACTCAGTAATTGCTTGCTGACCGAGTAAACAAACCTTTCTCGGAGCTGAGAATGTGGGAGGAGGCGCGGAGAAGGAGAAGAGAGGACAGATAGAATCTCCCGGCCCACCCAAGGCCACGCTCACCGGGTGGTCCGCGTCCAGCTCCGCCCCGTAGCTGAGGATCTGGTTGGCGAATCTGTCCAGCTCCTGGATGGTCCTTGGGAACCAAGGCACTGCAACAAGAAGGGCAGGGTCCTGTGCTGAGTGGCAGGACGAGGCCAAAGACCCAGGCTCGGCCCCCAGGCAGTTCCGCGCACAGCAGGTGGGGTTCCACAGAAGCCCCAAGTCACTGTGAGTGAGCAGCTTGGAAAGCAAGTGTCCACGATATCAAGCACGTCCGCCCTCCTGCAGATGTTCCGAGTTATCTCAAACTCACCTCCCTCAGCCAGCACAGTAATCTTCCCTGACTGCATTTAGCAGCAGAATACCTCACCTAGCCCCAGGAGGGACTCTGAGACCCCATCTCACATCACGAGTCTCATCATCACGAGTCTCCCTCCCTCCCGAAGGCCCAGGAACCCCAAGTCTTCTGATCCCCGAGCCAGTGGGAAGCCCCAGTTGAAGCCGAGAGCCAGGCAGTATGGGGTTCGAGATGCCTCGGGATACCCAACACTGCGGCCTTGCTCGGAAGCAGGACGGTGTGGGAGGAGACGGAGCAGAGCGGGGCTCAGCTCATGCCCTGCAGGGTGGGGTCCCCCAGAGGGAGACCCGGAGGGAAGGAAGAAGATGCCGTCCCGGGATGCTCAGGGACCAGGGTAGTGTGGGTGAAGCTCCAGCAGGACTGGAGCCATGTGCTCTGGGTAGCGGCTCGGGTCCTTCTCTGTAAAGGGCGATGAGCAACAACAGAAAGAACGGCAAAGATTGGAAGCCTTGCCAGGCTCCAGGGCCTGTGCCCTGAGGCCTACAGGAAAGGAGGCTGCAGGCCCAGGAAGCTTCCCCCACTCAGTGGCCAGGAAGGAACGTGCCTGCCACCTCGTGGTCAGGCTGGGAATCGCCGCCGTGACCCAGGTGGGAGACGGGACTAGCGCTGACTGCGCTCCCGGAAATAGGGATTGAGAGCCCCTCTCCGCGGTGCTCCACAGTCCCTGTCCAGCCTCGTTTCCGTAGATCCCAGCTGCTCAAGGTCTCTATTGGCCCAGTCAATGGTGGAAACTAACACGGGACACTGTCCTGAAGACTGCCTATGTGGTGGGAACTCTTGATACCCCCGCATTACAGGTGAGGAAACTGAGGTACAGAGAGTTAAGTGGCTGATAAGGACAAAGTCTTGAGATGTCCTAAATATCAGTACAAAAGGGTGGAAGGAGAGGAGGGAGAAGACGGGAGGAGGTTAATCGGCAATGAGCTATATGCTGAAAAAAGATCCTTTTAGATTCCGGAACGTGTGTTAAGACCTAAGTCAAATCTATCCTGAGCTGGGCATGGTGTGCACACCTGTAATCCCTGCACTTTGGGAGGCTGAGGCAGGACAATTGCAAGTTCAAGCCCAGCTTGGTTAACTCAGTGACTTAGTGAGAACTTGTTTCAAAATTTAAAATAAATAGATAGGAATGTAGGTCAGTGTGAAGGTCCTGGGTTCAATTCCCAGTACCAACTGCACACACACACACCGTGGGTCGGCTGGGGAGGTGGGGTTCAGTTGTGGGCCTGGCTGACTCTGCAGGCTCTGGCCTAGACCCCACATCCACCCTGCCTCTTTTGGGGAGACGAAAGAGCCACCTGGTTAGGGGCTGGCTCTGGAGCCTCCTGCAGCGACATGAGCAGGCACTGCAGAGAATCACAGCTCCAACTCCCCTGGACGGCTCTGAGCAGGCGCTGCCCCCCCACAGCACATGACCCGGTCCTGCGGTCCTCCCCAGGGCACTGGAAGTAGGGCTGGTTACCGTCCCGTTCCCAGGCGAGGGGACCAAGGGACAGGTGGGGTCCAGGCCTGGACCTCCTTGCTCCCAGCTGCTGAGTGACTCAGCTCCACAGCACCCACCTGGCTTGGAACCTGGCTTCCCATTTTTTTGCCTCACTGTGTCCCCAAGCCTCCTTTCTCAGTGAGTCTGCCATCTGCCCTGCACGGTGAGTGCTGTCAGCCCTGGAGATGGCCTCCAAAGCACTTGGGAAAGGTCAGCTACTCCATACAGCCAGGGCCCAAATTCCACAGAGACCCGTCCTGTCTCTGGAGCATCTCCCGGAAGTGCTTCGAGGACTCCAGAGCATCGCCCTGGAAGCGCTTCAAGGACAGCACCCACCAGGATGGAGGGGCCGTCCCCCTCCTCCGTGTTATGTGTGGCTGGTAAACCCCAAGGCCTCGCTTCCTGGGCATCCTGCACCCCCTTGGCTGCACCATTCTCTGACCTAGGGACCCTAAACTTCCAAGGGCAGGGGTCAAGCAGGTACTGAGACCTCCTGTGAGCCAGGTGCTGGAGGGAGACAGCAAGTAAGCAATAGTAAGTGTAAATATTTGGCCATGTGGGAAAGTCCTGAAGAAGAGAGAGCAACCTAAGCAGGTGAAAGTGCTGGGGGTGCTCTTCTTAAAATTTATTTCCATTTTTCCATTTCTGTATAATTAACAAATAAAAAAGCATACATTTAAGATGTACAATGTAACGATTTTCCATATAACGTGGAATAGTTCCCACAATGAAGTTCACGAACATACCCATTATGTCGTGTGGTTACCATTTTGCGTGCGTGCGTGCGTGTGTGTTGAGGACACTTCAGCTCTATCTCAACAATTTAATTATTATTAAGTTGCTGATGCTATGCTCTGTGTTAGGCCCTAGGAAGTTATTCATCTTGTAACCTTTATCAGCAACTCCCCATTTCTCTCTTCTCCCAGCACGTGGCAGCCCCCATCCAACTGTCTACTTCTATGAGTTTGACTTTCAGATTCCAGACATAAGTAAGATCATGCAGTATTTGTCTTTCTGGATCTGACTTAGCTCACTTAGCATAATGCCTCCAGGGTTCATTTATACAATCCTAAATGGCAGGCTTTCCTTCTTCTTGATGAATGAATAATAAATACTCCATTATATACCATATTTTCTTTATCCATTCACCCAGAAGTACAGAGCCTTAAGTTGTTGCTATATCCTGGCTACTGTGAATAATGCTGCAATAGATGTGGGAATTCAGAAAGCTCCTGAAATACAGATTTCATTTCCTGTAGGTATGTTCCCAGAAGTAGGACAGCTGGACTATATGGTAGCTCTTTAAGAGGAGGCTCTCTATTGTTTTCCATAATGGCTGCACCAGTTTACACCCTTTCCAGTGCAGGACAAGGCCTCCCTTTTCTTCATCTGGTTGAAGAAAAGGCTATCTGGTTGCCTCTTTAATCTCAGTCCAGGGATGCTATTTTACATGATAGTTTGTGTCTCTAAACTTGACCCTAATAGCCATAGCTCAGGGCATTCTGGGGAAGCCAGGCTCTGTCCCTAACCCACAGCTGGTTCCCATTTATCTCAGGGAAGCCTGGCTAGCAGTGATGAAGAGCCTGGCCACAGAGCCAGATGGGCTGGGCTTCAATCCTGTGTCTGCCCTCACTATCTGCAGCACAAAGACAAGTTACTGGGTGTCAGTCTTCCTGTCTGCAGAGTGGTGACAATGGCACTGCAGAGTAGTAAATGGTAAGAACCTAACTGAGCTAATAGCTGTGATCTGCTGAGGATGGTTTAGGCACATAGTAGCTGTTATTCACCTGTAAGCCGCAGGAGATGTTAGACCTGTAATCTACTCAGTCAGGCATTGCTGAACACAGATGTGCTCTGTTAGGGAGTTTTGTCCTGGCAGGAACATCAGGGGGGTAATACACAAACAAGTCGGCCGCAGCAGCCTGACCTATACGACCACGTCTCGGAGCTGGCCCGTTGCTGACTTAAGCTCATTATACAGCAGATAACCATGCAAACGTACACACACATGCGTAATTCCCTGGTCTGCCTTGTTCATCATTGCGCGGAAAAGAGAGCAGAAAGTGTCCCCCAGAGCTAGAATGTGGGTCCCTCACCTGCCTGTGTAGCCGAGCGCGTGCTCGTGTTTCATCTCTCAGCGCCTTGGTGTCTTTATCCCCAGCGTGCACTGCATCCAGGCGATCTTTCCCATCACTGGGGAACTCAGTGCTGTAGCAAAGGGGACCTGATGCCAGCAGCACAGCCAGCTTACTTCCTGGCTTACCTCTAGCCACTACATTATTCAGCCCTCAGGTCCAGTGCCCCACAGTTTCCCTTTCTCTCTCATCAAAGACACCTGATTTGTTTGCTTGGTTTGTTGTGCTGGGGATTGAACCCAGGATTTCACTAAATCGCCAAACTTCCCAGGTTGGGCTCGAACTTGTTATTCTCCTGACTCAGCCTCCCAGAGTGCAGGGATTATAGGCAGCAGCGCCTGAACTGCCTTTACTCCAGGCTCACTGAAGCCTGTTTGCCCTGCTGGGCTGAGCCCTGCCCATGGGCACCTCCTAAGTGAACAGCAGAGGGCGCCAGAGGACTTGGGCCACCGGGCCTTGCTCGGTGGAAAAAACCAAAAGGCGAACATCCACAGAGGTTTGCAAAGCCTCCGAGTGCACAAGTGGAAGGGAGAGGCCCAAGAAGCCCCAACAGGGCCTCTGGTGGTCCCCAGCCCCATCGCCCTCCAGAGCAGGCCCTGAACAAGCCAGGGGGAGAGGCTCAGCAGGCTTGGGAGCTGATATCCATGCTGGTGCTCAGCTGCCTCTGCCACTTCTTAACTTCAGGGCCGAGTGCAAATTCACCTCTGTTCCCTGCTTTCCATTTGCAACACAACCATGACCCTGTGTCTCCCAGGGAGGTGGGCGCGGACTAAGATGAGCACTGCCCGGGTGGGTGAGCCACACTAAGAACCGGGTTTGGACGCACCGTCATTCTGGAAGGGTGGCAGGCAGCAGCCCTCGAAGCCAAGGCCCTTGGGGCAGCCTCTGTACTTTGGGGTAGAAGAGGACCCAGGCAGATGGACGGAAGGACCGGCAGATGCTCGCCTTGGAGTAGGGCCCGGGCTGAAGGACAGGAGAAGAAGTCCTGGGGGTCAGAGTGGGTTCTTAAGGGACCAACAGGCTAAGGACACTAGGACCTGACTCAGCTTTTTCCTTCTGACATTATGTATGTTTAAGAGCTTCCTGTACACCAGCTACAGAGCTAAAAGCTTTACTTCCACTGCCTCTTTTGAATCTCGAAGCTCCTGGCAGGTGGGCACCAGTGTTCTGGTTCCCTGATGGGTAAACTGAGGCACGGAGATGAAGGGACTTACTCTACACCCCCAAGTTGGTGGAGCTGAGATTGGAATCCTGCACCCATGCAGGTCAGCCCAGGCTATGCTGACCCTGTCCTCTCAGGAGGCGACAGCAGGAGCTAGAGGGGCTTGAAGGACATGGTGAGGATGGTGCTGTCCTCCCCAGCCTCCTCCCCAGCCCAGGGGCGCAGCTTCCTAGCACCTGCCTGCTCCTCCGCATAACCTTTTCTCTCTTCTGGAGTGAAGGTTGCGGGTCCTCTCGCCCCAGCCCCTGCTGGGTCGCACAATGCTGGGAAGAGAGAGTGACCCCGTGACCCGGGCCTCTGTTTGGAAGAGTTAAATCAGATTAGCTCATTAATGACCTTGCCATATACCTCGCGGTGGGCAGGCTGCCGGGCTTGGTTAATGAATGACCGGCCGGCTGGCTCAACAGAGGGCCTCTGTGCAGCCACCATCTCCCGGGGGCCGGATCTTTAATAAATATTGATTGTGCTCCAAAGGAAGCAGCCCGCCGGAGAGCCAGCCCTGAACACCCACATCGTGGGCCCATTAAGTCGGGGTCAGCTGCGGCTGCTCCGGGTGCTGCGGAGCCACTCCCTGGCTGGGGTCAGCGCTGGACCGGAGTGACAGCAGCACCCGTGCCGCCAGCCCCAGGGGCCAGCCAGCAAGGCACCCCGCCTGCCTCCAGCCGTCTCAGAGAGAGCAATAAATCCTCCATTCCGCGGCCCAGAATAGAAGGTGCTTCCACCCCGGCGCCCTGGCTCCCAGAGGCTCCTCTGAGGCGGGTGAGGCCTCGTCCCGCAGGCCCCCCAGGGCAGAGGGGTCACCTCCTGTCCCCTTGGCCAGCACACCTCTCATCACTGCCTCGCAGGGTGCACAGAGCCTCACCACTCTGCAGCGGATGGGACCAGGAACCGGCTTCTCCGTCCAGCTGCGGGCGGAGGGGTCAGCAGTACAGGAACTGCCCAGGGGATAAAGGGGTTAAAGGTGGACCAAACAGAAAAAGGTGGCCACGCCACCTCTGACTTCTGAAATGGTGGAATAAGGCCAGGAAGATCCAGAGACAGGATTGCTTGATTTCCAGTATGTGCTTTAGGATATGCATAATAACTGCAGTCACCTGGGTGAGTTAGCACACACAGATTCAGCATCTTGGTCACTTGCTCCCCCTTCATCCTGGCCATCCTGTCCCCTTCTGCACTCCTGACCCTCTTCCCATCCCCACAGTCCGCCTCCCTGTTACCTTCCATCTCCCTTGCATCTTGCCCTGTTAATTATTTAATGCTGGCTTTCTCATATAAGAGAAACCATGCAACATTAAACCTTCTATGTCTTTTTTTTTCATTTAGCATTATGATCTCAAGATCCAGCCATTTTCCTACAAATGTCTCCAATTAATCCTTCCTTATAGCTGAGTAGTGCTCCTTAGTGAATAAATACCATGATTTCCTCATCTGTTCACTTGTTCAGAGGCCTTTTGTATACTTCTACAATGCCATAAACAGGGGTGTACATGGATCACTCCCATAGGATATCTTTAAATCTTCAGGAAAATATCCAGGAGAGGTATGGCTGGGTCAAATGGGATATCTATTTTTAATTTTTTGAGGAATTTTCACACTGATTTCCATAGTGGCTGTAGTAGTTTAAATTCCCAGCAACAATATGGAAGCATTCCTTTCCCCACAACCTCACCAGCATTTGTTGTTTGTCTTGTCTTGTTTCGTTGTTCGTGATGAGTGTTCACTGCAGTAAGATGGAATCTCAGTGTTGTTTTGATTTGCATTTTTCTAGCGGTCGATAGGAAGGATTTTTAAAAGCAAGGACCACGTAATTTATAAAATGCTAAGGAAAGAGGGATAATGGTGTCAGATGTTACAGAAATGTCACAGAAGTCGAAAAGAAACAAAAAAGATTTGTTTGGGTAGTGGGTGTGGTCGGAATGGTAGGAAAGGAAGGAGGAAGAGGTGGCAGCAGGAAAAGGGATGGAAGGAGGGAAGAAATAAGGCAGGGAGGAAAGCAGAGGAGAACCTGGTCTCTCATAGCCCACTGAACCCACAGCCAAGGGACAGTGCCGAGCGCAGGCAGAGACACCCGGCCGTGGGAGATCACTTGACCTCACTTGACCTCGGCGCGCCATCTCCGCAGCTGCTGGTAAGGCCGGGCCAGTGGGGCAGGGGGCTGCCGACTCCCGTAGCCTGCCCAGGAGCTGCTTCATGGAGCTGGAGGTGACACACAGCATCTAACTGGGTGGAGCTACAGATCACAGTGCACTGTCTGTCGAGGGCTAAGGATGCTGGAGGCCAAGGGCCGATTCAAATTCAGGGGTTCCACTCATTTCTCAAAGCCCCAGCATTCAGAATGATCCCTTCAAGGGCCCACAGGAAGGGGTAGAGTGGGCCTCAGCTCCTAGGTCACACGTGAAGAAGCAAAGGCTGATACGGCCACCCCGCTGGAAGGGGTCCTCGGAATCCAGACCCGGCGGCAGTGTACAAAGCACAGATCCAAATCTGCCACTCTTTCTGGGTCCTCACGCTGCTCCCCCATCCAGCAGGAAAGACACATTGCCATCCAGTCACAGTGCTGTCACGTCCTGTTCCCCTTCCACGGGGGACACACTTGTCACGCAGGCAGAAGGTGCTCCATCGGCTTCTTCTAACGTCCGAAGTTGGTGGCTGCCCCCATACTGCATGGCCCCTCTTGGCCAAAAGGTCAGGAGGTTTAGGATTCCGCACCTGCTCAGTCCTAAGATGCAGGTGACAAAAGACTCAAGGGTGAGTTTACTGACACTGTGGGTCCACTCAAACTCTGTCGCACAATGACACTGGTGCCCGGCTCTCTTTATTCTCAGTTGAGCAAGGGGAGGCGAAGGGAGGGTGAGCAACATGGCCAACAGCTGCAGCCCCAGGCCGAGCAGGGACGGGAGCACCCTCCAGCCTGACCCCTTTGTCTTGTTTCCGATCAGTGAAACGAGGCATACTGCTTTTTGCTTGCTCTGAGTTTGTTGTTGCCAAACTTCAGTGTGACAAGTAATGAGGAAGAATTTCAGAAACTGGATTTGGCAAATAAATGAGAAATTCTTCCTAGAGTCTACCTAGCTCGGAGCTCTGTGACCCGGATGAGGCTCAGGAGCAGCTGAGTCTCCCTTCCCAATGAACGGAGCTCACCTCGGTGACCAAGCAGGTGCGGCCCCAAAGGCTGTGCACCCAGCCTTCCCGGGGGCTGTGTCTTCACACCTAGGGGTCTGCTTGTCTGGGGAGTGCAGTCTGCTGGACAGAAGCCACCTCCCCAGGCGGCAGACTTGGCGCAACATCAGCTGCTCCTGCACAGGGCTGAAGGAGGCTGTCGGTCCCGTGTGCTTTCATGTCATGCGAATACTGGTCTCCTGCCAACCTCGGACCACACGCATCTCCATCCCGGCCCTGAGGGGCCCACATGGGTGAAGCAAAGCACACAGGAGGAAGTGCAGAGCTGAGGGGGAGCAGCCTGTGGGAAGTAGGGCCAAATGGATGATCGAGAAAGGGAGGGAGGAAAGAAAGGCACAGTGGGCAGGATGGGGAGGACCCCAACCATCAGTCTTGGCCTTCAGCCTTAAGCAGGGCTCAGGAAAGACTCTTTGGGATCCTTGGCTTCTTTGAAAAATCTTCTGTCCTTGAACATGTTCAGGCACACACACACACACGTGTGTGTGTGTTGTATGTGTGTGTGTGATTTTTCCAGGGGAGTTTCAGGACCCTCCCAGGAATCCTGTCCTTCCCTTCATCAACCCAGCTGACCTGAAATGTACATCTTTTGCAATATATCTGTTCAGAGCAGCAATATTAAAGCAGAAAAGAGAAAACTCAAGAGGGTGGGGGAGGGGAAAGAGGCGGGAAGAGGGAAGGAGTAGGTTCAGGATGTTGGTTTTGTCTCCTCACCAATAATAACAATAAGTGCTCACAAGATGAATGGATGGCCGGGTGGATGGACAGATAGGCTATATCCAGAGAGACACAGACACATAAAAAGACACATTCATGTATACATACATAAACAGGCAGATGCCTAGATGCATAGATAGATAGATAGATAGATAGATAGATAGATAGATAGATAGACAGATAGATAGATAAGATGAACAGACAGAGAGGAACACAACAGAGATAAATAGCCAGCAAGCCCTTCTGTTTTGCATGGAATAAACAGTTATACCAGCAACCTGGACTCACTTTGCCTCTACATCAGGACTTTTAGAATGACTGTAACATGAATAAAATCTAATAAAGGTCTCCTTTCACTCTTGGAAAATAACTCCAAAGAGATACATTTCTCAACAAATGATGCCCTAGAACTCCACGTACTGCAGACTTTCTGTCCTGCTGCAGCGTGTCTCCGTGTAGGCATTTTCTACCCCCCACGAAATGCAATGTCATGCAGAAGACTCAAAGGGAACGGTAAAAGGATTAGTAGAAGGATCGATGGCCGATATTAATGCTCTTTCATGTTGGGTTGAGGAAGGATTTGAGATCATCAGGAGAGGGTAACAGGAGAATAGAACTGGAGGATTCAAAAGCCTCCCTGGATTAAAATCCTATTAAACTCCCATCAGCTACTCCAGGAGGCTCCTGAGAAGACTCTTTGACGGGCCCCATAATTAACCTTCCCTTAAGCTGTGCTGGGTGGAGAACTTTGGCAATTAAGAAACTGAAAAACTTTCATTTTCTATCACCCACATGGCTTCTTGAATGGTTTGAAAACTAGAGTGGAAAGTGGTTTAGCTTAATTGATTTGAGGGGTTCATCTCTCCCACTTGAACCTGCCGTCAGCCTCACCCGAGATCTGAGCCCTTCATTAAAAAGGGCGTTTGTCCAGAGAAAGAATCAAAGGTTCCGACCTACTCCAGTGCCCTCCGCCCCACCCCACCCCCGTCCTGCAGAAAGAGAAACTGGACACAGGAACAGTTGTTTCCCATTTCTCTTTTGGAGCCCAAACCCCGCTTCACAAAAGCCACCCCCCAAGCCCACCAGGCTCCCCACATCTGGGGCCCCAGCAGCTGATGGTTGCAGGTGAGGGTCAGGTGGGGACAGCTGTGAGGACAGGGGTGGGTGACCAAGCATTCCTAAAGTAAGGGGTAGGAGGCACACATGCCTGTAAAGGGTCGGGCTGAGCGGGCCTTTCCTTCCCCAGGGGAACGTGCTGTCAGCTCCCAGCTCCAGAGCCTGCCCCTCAGAGCAGCAAGGCGAGGGGCCAGGAGTGGAGTTAGATGCGCTCCCTGCGGCCTCTCCCTAAGGCAGGAGCCCTTTCCGTCCACGGTGGAGTCATCAGGGTGCCCAGTGGAGAGGAGGCGATCCGCCGGCCCTGCCTCCTGTGGCCCTGGCCCTCCCCGTGGTGACGGAGAGGGTGCCTCGTCCTCTTACGAGCAACAGCTCTCTCCAGCTCCCAGCACAGCACCGTGACCCGAGGCACAAGTCACACAGGGGTCTGCTGGGCTGTGTGACCCCTGGCTCCCGTGGCTGTTCACAACAGCAGTGATGGAGGTGGTCAGAACATTGGTTCACTAGGCCTCCCGGCTCCCGGCACAGGGCAGGCAGCCTGCCAGGCGGGCATTCCGGCTACTCCCACCCAACACAGCGGCTCAGGAATTGGCCCGAGCAAGGCACACCTTGGTGCACAGCCTGCGCCCAACCCCAGGACATCCCCAGGAGGAACAGCCTTCGAGCGTCCGGTTCAGGCTGCAGCCCACCAGCTGTTTCCACACATCTTCCCGGCCCGCAGCGCGCCTGCCTGCCTGCCTGTCAAATGCTTTGATTTCGGACCCCAGGGCCCCAGCTGGCCCAGCCTCCACCTGCTGCAAGCAGAGGCAGAGCTGCCCCAGGATCCGGAGGGCCTTTGTCCTGGGGGCCTGCAGCTCCTGTCGGGAGCAGGTGGCCGGAAAAAAGAGAGGACGGTCATCAAGGAGGCTGCTTGGGAGGCGGAAGGGAAAAGAAGCCAGGAGGGCTGAGCGTGGGAAAAACTGGGACCTGCACCCATCCGCACCCAAGCTCTCTCGGGCCCAGCGGTTCCGGTCTACAGGAGCCAGGGCGGAAGTGGCCTCCGAGGGCGTCCTAGGAGCTGCCTGTTAGGAAATGTCGCAGGGGGCTGTGCTACAAAGTGGGTTTTGCCTCATTTGAAAGCATCTCTGTCTGTTAAAATGCCGTTTTTAGATTATTTTTAAAATTGATATGTGAGAACTATACATATTCTTACCATGCTCAAGGTCTTGGTTTCCTCAAGAGAAAAGAAAGAAAAAGAAAGAAAGAAAAAGAAAGAAAGAAAAGAAAGAAAGAAAAAGAAAGAAAGAAAAGAAAGAAAGAAAGAAAGAAAGAAAGAACTGTACACTGTGATGTTTCCATACACATATAAATTCTGCAATGTTCATATAAAAAAATAAGCATTTCTGTCATCTTAAACACTATTCACATTTTTATGGTGGAAATATTTAAACACTTTTCTTCTGACTTAAAAATAATACAGTACCATATCATTACCTCGAGTTACCCTGCTATGTAGCAGAACCCAGAGCTTAGACTCTTACCTGCTGGTGACAGTAACCATTAACCAATTCAGCCCAGTGCTTGAAATTCTCCTGACCTAAGGTTTTCAGTGTTTGTGAAAAAAATTTTGATTTTACAGCAGAAAAATTTTTGATTAAAAAAGAGAGCTTATCTCAGTAATCACACTCTTAGATATTTACCCAAATGAGTTGAAAACTTATGTCCACACCAAACCTGAACATAAATGTTTATAGTAATTTTATAGTTGCCAAAAATTGAAAGTAACCAAGATGTTCGACAATTAGTTATGTTCATATGATGGAATATTATTCAGCAATAAAAAGAGATGTGCTGCTGCGTGAAAAGAATATAGGTGTCTTACTAAGTAAAAGAAGCCAGTCTACAAGGTTATAGCCTTAGAGTTATATACTATATACAACTATATCTATTTTCATACTTAGAGTTGTATACTATATACAACCATATATACTGAGAGTTGTGTACTATGTCATTGCAACTGTATGACTTTCTGGAAAAGGAGAAACTACAGAAATAGTGAAAAAAGATCAATGGTTGCCAAAGGAGGGAATAAAACAGCAAGGATGATTGGGTGGATACTTGGAGGGTAATGAAAACCTTCTTATGAGATTGTGAAGCAGCTGTGTGACCTCACACATTTGTTACAACCAGTAGAACTGTACCACACAAAGCATGCTCCTAAATGTACATTATACACTTTATTTAGTTCAGTGTTGGCTCATCAAGCATAAAAGTGTTCAGCACTCATGGAAAGTGTTAATAGAAAAAATGATGCATGAAGAGAAAGAAGATGGGGGGATTTTCTGTGCTTTCTGTACAATTTTTCTATAATCTAATACTGCTCTAAAAATAAAGTCTATGTTCATCTAAATATACTTTGGGCCTTAAAAAGCAATCAGGGACCTGATTTAGCTCAGTGGTTCTGCCACCTGCCTTGAAAGCGCAAGGACACAGTTCGATCCCCAGTACCAAAAACAAAAAAAACCGAATCAATCACCCATTTCTTTCTAGTCTTTTGAAGCTGATCATAATTGCAACAACACCATATTGTCCTTCAGTTGGCCCTGTGGAAGACCAGCACTATTCCAAGCTCCATTTATATAAGAGTTTATTTAATCCCCATAAAAGCATTGGGACTAAAAATTACAGGGCTTGTCGAGGGCCTCTGAGTCCTTAAGTAGTGGAAGCAGAACTTGAACCCAAGTCCACACTGATAATTCCTCCACTCTATGGCCCCTCTCCCCTCCAGGGAGCAGCAGCAGGCAGCTCTGTGGTACTCAAATAATGGGGCACTGCGGGTCATAAAAACGCCTATGTTTGCTCACTCAAAAATATTTGCTGTATGCCAAGCCTGGTGCTAAACTCTGCGGATGTAAATACAGATGAGAGACTCCCTAGTCACAAGACACTTGAGATTTAGTGCAAGAGGCAGATGCAGAGACAACGGCAATGAAAGTCCTAGATCAAGGAACCAGGTGGTCCTAGCTGCAGCACCGGGCATCTAGGAGAAGTGCTTGGACGGCCTCTGATTGGAATGGAGATAAGTAGATCTTGCCCTGAATTTGCATTTAAGAAGAAAGTGCCCTGGACATCACCCCTCTGGAGGCAGAGATTTAAAGAATGCTAACACAATTATCAAAAGATACATAGAAATTTCAGCAACAGAATGAAAACTACTAAGATACGGAACAGCTCTCTTGGGAAAGTGGAAAAAGAACCAATTGGTGATGCCTACGGTATGCCAGGGTTCTGTCTGGGTCCCTGACCTACCCACATTCTCCCTCTTCGTCCCCTGAACAATAGCCCAGCGTAGGTAGCATTTATGCTGGTGTTTTACCACGACAGTGTTGAGGCGCCCGTGCTGCAAGATTCCTCTCATTCTTACCAGTGTCTTTCTTCTTGTCTCGAGAGAGCTCGTGGACAGTGGCACCAATGTCATGCCTCAGGATCTGGATGATGCTGGACAGGGCAGGCACACTGCGCTCGTCCAGGTGGGTGAAAAACTCGTACTCGTCTTTGTTTAGACGGGACGGTCTGGATTCGATGTGAGTCAAATTGATGTCATTCTCCTAGGAGAGAGAATTGGGCAGGCTTTGGACTAAGACAGGCCGAAGATGCAAAAGCAGAAAAAAGCACAAACAGTGAAATGGAGAATCCAAGAGTAGGATTTCACTTTTCAATAACAGTAGAAGAAAGTCCCTAAGTTTTCTAAAGGTACTTATTTTACCTTCAGCAAAACCAAGTACCAACTGGGAAGGGGTGGGAAGAATAATTCAATTATTAGCATAGAATATAAACACATGGAAATATGCTAACAGCCCGAATTTCCACCATATGACTTTGATTTGATTCATATATATATATAGGACAGTAATTATGGAAAAATATCGACATGGGAAAAATCTCCTTTTCCAAATTAAATCCCACGCAATCTCAATACGTAAGCAATATAGAAGCAACAGTTTTTGGCTTAAACATAGTCCTCAAGACTCAGACTTACTTGTTTTACATTTAAATTCTAAGTAACACTGGCTGTTAGGCTTTATTTACTTTCATGTTTCTCGCCCTCAGTTTCCTCTTCTGTAGCTGGGTGTCTCCATGATTCCTGCTTCATAAGTTCCCAGGGAACATTGGACAAGGTGAGACATACACACATGCTGGTGGTCACATGGTAAATGCTCAGCAAAAATGCTATGGTTACTATTATTAACATCTTTATAATCATTTTTCATTTCAGTTATTCAACAAATAAATACAAGACCCAGCAGTTGCCAGTCGCCTTTCAAGTGTCTTGGAGTGAACAGAAAAGCAAAGATGCTCTTTGGCTTATGAAGTTTATGTGCACATCAAGGAGAGCAAAGAACAAAGGAAAAGATAAGTCACAGGTGCATTATTTTGGAATGACAGAGGATAAGGAAAAAAACACAAGGCAGAATAGGGCAAAGGGGACACTGGGTTCTGAGGTGGTGGAGATGCCAGGTCCTGAGGGGGAAGAGGCTGCACTCCGCCTTCAGCAGGGTGACACAGATGGCCTCGAGAGGGCGACACATTGCACCCTAAAGGGGCTGTGGAGGGGAAGGTCCTGCAGCACAGTGCCCCTGCTGGCTGAGGGGAGAGCCACAGGGCCAGCATGACCAGAGCAGCAGAAGTCAGGGGGAAAATAGGAAGAGAAATCAGAATAAACACATGGCCAGACAGTTATCTCAAAGAGTGAGATTTTTCAGGAAGCTCCCCACCTCCATCCCAGGCTCCTAGAGCAGAGAAGCTCAGCCGGTCCCAGCACCCGGAAGGAAGCTCCCCCGCTGCCATCCCAGGCTCCTAGGGCAGAGAGGGTGAGCCAGTCCCAGCACCCAGAAGGAAGCTCTCTACCTCCATCCCAGGCTCCTAGGGCAGAGAAGGTGAGCTGCGTGGGTGCCAGAAGCAGCACCCCCCCGAAATGAGAAAACACATAAACAACCTTCAAAAACAGAGTTCCAGATCACCTACAGCAAGCCTAAAGGGAAACGAGAAGAAACAATCTGATACTCAACCGCCTGGACTCTCTGAACTGGCAACAAAAGAGGATCTGGGAAAAATGAAATCAGAAATAATTACTCAGATAACAGCAAAGATTGTG